ATCAAAGCTTTGTGATTGGCCGGCGTCACCCCATGTGTCGGGGCGTGGCTGAGGGTCTTCAGTACAGGTGGCAATATTGTCACCTGCCTGCGCTCATCTCTGAAACCAGACCATGTAAACAGGCTGGTATTTCTTGCAAAAAATCTTTAAGAGATGACACGAGCAGCCCTACCAGCATTTGCCATGGTGGCCTAAACATTTTTATTTGGTCTTAAATTGTAGTTCAACATTTATTTCCTGTTACTTCTGGACCATGACGGTTGGCCAGCCTTCAACGTTTAACTGAGTGGAATATGTTGAATATGTTTTACCAAAATGTTGGCTATATGTTAAGGAGTTTTCAGTAGGTTGTGACAGTGCACTGCAACATGTTTGATTTCATTTATTTTGGTCTAATTTATTTTTATTTATCATATTAATAATATATGTTTAGTATGGTTTTGGAAGTGCGCTCCAACATATTTGTTGATCTTGTTTATTGGTCAAATATTATTTGTTTTAAAGTTCAATAAATGGTCAAAATAACCGTGATATCAATTATTGACCCAAATAATCGTGATTATGATTTTTGCCATAATCGCACAGCCCTAATATATATTATTCTGAAATGGACCAATCTGCACAACGACTATACTTTTACTGTCTTTCACTATATTTTGATGAGAATACTTTTCTACTTTCACTTGAGGAACATTTTGAATGCAGTACTTTTACTGTGACAGAGTATTCCTACACTCGGGTATTTCTACTTTTACTCAAGTAAAAGATCTGAGTACTTCTACTTTTACTCAAGTACAAGATCTGAGTACTTCTACTTTTACTCAAGTACAAGATCTGAGCACTTCTACTTTTACTCAAGTACAAGATCTGAGTATTTCTGCTTTTAATCAAGTACAAGATCTGAGTACTTCTACTTTTAATCAAGTAAAAGATCTGAGTACTTCTACTTTTACTCAAGTACAAGATCTGAGTACTTCTACTTTTACTCAAGTACAAGATCTGAGTATTTCTGCTTTTAATCAAGTACAAGATCTGAGTACTTCTACTTTTACTCAAGTACAAGATCTGAGTATTTCTGCTTTTAATCAAGTACAAGATCTGAGTACTTCTACTTTTAATCAAGTACAAGATCTGAGTACTTCTACTTTTACTCAAGTACAAGATCTGAGTATTTCTGCTTTTAATCAAGTACAAGATCTGAGTGCTTCTACTTTTACTCAAGTACAAAATCTGAGTACTTCTACTTTTACTCAAGTACAAGATCTATACTTATACCACCTCCGTTTATAGCAGGGGTGCCCAACCTTTTTTGAACCGAGAGCTACTTTTAAAGTTGCCAGTCTGCCGAGATCTACCAGTCCAAGCGTCCAGGCGTAGCCATTACTGACAGCCTACTACCAGGTAAATACACACTTCTACTTGTGTAAAACTGAGTAGTGTTGCTACAAAAGTATAAATTAGGCTTACTAATAAGACAACTCAGATCTGAAGCTACAGGAATCTGCTGCCAAAGTGCAATAAAAAAGACTAAATTAATAGAATCAAACCCTTTTTTTGTTGCATTTAGTAGAGTATAAAAATAAATGCCTTTAAAATAGGATGCAAGCAACACTAGTTTCTTAACTTAACCTGAATTGATAATAGACTATAACCTTTATCTTTATCTTATACCATTTTGTACAATAATTATAATGAATAAGTTCAAACAAACAAAAACTTACAGCTGATTAATAACGGTATCTAACTTGAGTTTTTATTATATCAAAAACCTGTTGAAATGCTACTGTTATTTTTACTGTCCCCAAAAAGCGCGTCGGCAGCCTCCAGGAAAGCTTCTTTCACAACTTTGCCATCTTTGAAAGACTCGGGCCTGGCTCCACGAGGGGGCAAAAGGGGGCATTGCCCCGAAGTTGTTTTATTTGCCCCCTCACTTTGAGCATCATTCAGCCATCGAAAAGTTAAATAAATGTCACAATTATTAAATAACTTAAAATAATTATTTTCCCCAACACACGTTACTATGTTTAGATCAGATATGTGGGCAGGCAGTCAAGCAACGTGTAAACAAGCCTCAACCCCAAGTGAGCTTGTAGTCTTAATTAATGTTAGCATGTGTGCTTAGCTGTAAACACAGTCGGATGGGGGACCAAAACGTCCCTGTTTTCCGGGCAAAGTCCCCATTTTCGGAATGTGCGTTAAAAAACATAGAGCAAGGTGAAATAAAATGTTACATGTCAGTAAAAACAGAGTAACAGTGTTGTGCCTGTTTGTAGCGTTAGTGTATTTCTTTTTCTAATACTTCTTCTTCTACCTCTACTTCTTCTTCTTCTACCTCTACTTCTTCTACCTCTCCTTCTTCTTCTTCTTCTTCTACCTCTACTTCTTCTTCTTTTACCTCTACTTCTTCTTCTTCTACCTCTACTTCTTCTTCTTCTACCTCTCCTTCTTCTTCTTCTTTTACCTCTACTTCTTCTTCTTTTACCTCTACTTCTTCTTCTTCTACCTCTACTTCTTCTTCTTCTACCTCTACTTCTTCTTCTTCTACCTCTACTTCTTCTTCTTCTACCTCTACTTCTTCTACTTCTTCTTCTTCTACCCATGGATGTATAATAAGAAGCTTCTAATTCAATGTACCTTCCCGCAAAATATTGGACAAAAGAAAGTCGGCTAGTAGTGTCAACTAAATCCATAGTATTAGAACAAAAGTGATTTAAACGAGGTAAATTACGAATGTATGTTCTCAATCGCCAAGTGTGGGATTGAATATTAAATTAGATTTATTGCCCCCAGGGAGAAATTCATTTCCACAGCTCTGTGAAAACGAGATGAAATCGACAAAAAATAAGACAACTACAGATAGCACCACACATGATGCTTACCTGTTATTATTTAGGGCTGCCTGTGTAGGGCGAGCCCTTTTACTATAATAATAATATGTTATTATATAAACCGTATTGGTACAATGAGCGACATCTAGTGACGGATTTGTAATCTGTGTCTGTCCATTTGGTGTAGTATTTGATCCAATATTACATTTGGTTTATATATTAGTCACTTTCTTATGGAATGCCAGGTTTTAGGTCTTGGTTTGAACATTCAATCCTGAAAATAAAAAATCAACCAGATTAATTTGTCTTTAATCCTGACATGACTAGAGTAGATAGTAAGTAAATAAATCTGTATAGGAAGACGAGTTAAGGGATAGAGGAGAAAAGGTTATGGTATAATTACAAAGCCTGTCCATTTATAAATTGAGGAAATCAATGTTAGTCTGTTAACGTGACTAACAAAGTGCAGGCATCTAATAATGTACTATCTATTATTAAAGATCAGATGAAAAGAACAGAATGAGAGGGGTCAATCCGGAATACAAATAAAGAAGCAAAGAGATTGTAGAGCAGTGAGAATGAAAAAAACTTGGTGTGTCAATTCATTACATTGCCAGTATTTTTCGTTGTTGTGAAAAAAAAGTCGCCCCCTAGGATTTTTGAACAGCCCCCTCAGTCATTTCAGCCTGGAAAGACTTCATGTGTTTCGCAAGAACGTGACTGACACGATAAGATGCTATGGTAGCAGCCTTGCTCTTGTTGTTGGGCCTGGTGAAAATGGACTGCTGTGCATTTAGCTGTCCTTTCAGGCCCCTCCCCTTTTGGAGCGTAGGGCAGAATTAGGAGGGAATTCCGTCTCGTAGCGTTTGTGCACTGTTTTGAAATGCCGCTCCTAAATTACTATTCTTCGATAAAGCCACGCTCGCATTGCAGATGAGACAGATGGACTTTGAATTGGAATAGATACAAAAATAATCATCCTCCCACTCGGAGTGAAAATTATATATGTTGGGCTTTTTTGCTTCTGCCATAATTGCGGTCTTGTGTGTGTGCGGACTGTCACTCCTGTTGACAAGGTCGGACAACAACGTCAGCGAACTAGTGCACTGCCCACCAGCCACGCCCCGACACATGGGGTCACGCCGGCCAATCACAAAGCTTTGATGCGTTCAAGTGCATTATTCTGGCACAGGAAGATTATGTTATAGGACATTAACGATAAAACAGAATATTGTTGTTCTATTTTTAGACACATATCGCGATCGACTGGGAATCTCCCCGCGATCGACTGGTTGGGTACCCCTGGTTTATAGCCTATGAAAAACTATTAGAAAACGAAGGCTAAAGCTAACGTTAGCAGATAGTGACAATGTATGCTAGCTAGCTCAACGATAATATTGCGACAGAAAAACTTTTCAGTTTACATCACGCTCTGCGCTCCGACAGGGAGCTCTGCTCTGAACACCTGAACGGCCCGTTCTAACAGCTGTTCACCAGCGGTCCAGTCTGTGCCACAGTGACTCCGAACCACAGTTAATATTAACGAACGCACCCGTAATGTGGCTGCTGAAGCTAGACCATCATCGCGGAGCAGCAGAGCCGACAGGCAGGAAGACTCGAGCACACAGCTCGCGCTGCATTATAATATATAAAAAAAGAACACCATGCGTGTCATGATGGCACATAACAGCTCGCGGCCGCAGATTACTCCGGGTCCCAGACCCCCCCCATACCCCAAAAATATTTGTATTGCAGATCTACATGAATCACACAAACGACCTATTTTGGATTCAAAACGGCGAATTTCGCCGAAAGGTGAGTGATTCTCATGCCTGGAGGAGACTCACTGCGATTAGACGACATGGGGACACATATATATATAATGCAATGGTTCCCCAGGAGCAAGCATGCACTTCACCTAAAAACAGTTATTTGAGCTGTTATGAAAGAAGATGATTATCAAGTCTGGATCTGATAACCTTGCCTGAAAACAGTTAAAGGTTAAAAAATGTCACAAGATCGACACATCCTGTAACCTGGAGAGAAGCAAAAGTAAAAGTTTGATTGACAGAGATGTTGCTGAAGATACCTATTATTTCAACAAATATAGGTTACCAAAAAATGGTGGGGGTTGGATCTGAGTCGGGGTCACTGACCTACGATGATGCCCCCCGGCCGTCTGTCCGTCTCCATGCCTTGGGGGTGCATCCCTTTGCCGTACACCGCCTCTCCTATCATCTGATTGGCTCTCTGGTAGCGCTCCATGCTGGGCTCATCCAATCCCGGCGTGCAGCCTCGGCCCCGCGCACGCTCAAATTCCTCGTGGTACTTCGCCTGTCGGAGGGAATACCCCAAAACACACTAGTGAGTGACATGGAAATTAGAAATATAAAGAGTTAATACAGTTATTAATGTTAGATATTAGACACACACACACACACACACACACACACACACACACACACACACACACACACACACACACACACACACACACACACACACACACACACAGGTCAGGGGGCATTTGGTCAGTGAGCAAATACAACACACACTGTTTTTAAAATATTTTATTATGAACACACGCTCATGCATAAGTCCATACCCACAGTCTTTCACACTTCTGAAGGATGAGTTCACTGTTTCTCAACTCAGACCTTAACCAAATGGAAGCAACCATTCCAGAAACTTTTTTTTAAAGCTGGAGTTTCAGGATATTGCACTTGTCCATATTGCCATTTCGTCAACATTTCAATTAAATGGTCTGCCATAATTCTTAATTACAAACTTAAAACAAACTCTTAAAAACATACGTACAGTCCGTAACCCCTGTCTTCTTGGAGCTTAAGTGGACACACACACACTAAAATACACACACACACTCAGTGCACTGTTTTAGTATCGGTGCCTCAGTCCAGCCTCCTGTGCCATGTCACTCTTGTTATCTCCGCCCACATCTCAAGGGGGAGCCTCGGCAACGCAGCCGCTACCATGGAGATGGTGTCCTGTGACTTCCTGACTCGGCGGTACTCAGGTGTGTCGAGCTCGTTGCAGCTCCGCCCCCTCAGCTCTTGCAGCCCCCGCTGGTACTTCACCTGCAGATTATAGTATATGAGTTTTATTTTAGTTTGAATAAAGTGTGTGTTGTGGTGTGCACGTGTGTGCGTGTGTGTGTCTTGCCGAGCTGATGTTCTCCTGGTTCTGTTTGACTCTCTCCAGTTCAGGAGTCACTCCGACGCTGCAGGCCTTCACTGCACTCTGCCTGTACTTCACCTGGAGACCCAGAAAAACAATGATATATATGTTATGTATTATGCAGAATTAGACTGCAGGATATTTTGTATTTTTTCCCACACCTTTACTAATGATGATCCAGTTAGATATGACAATTAATGATGAACTGTTCTGTATCTGATACAATTATGTTCATTCATTTCTTTACCTTTTTTTTCCTCTGACATAATATGTTTGTTACCGTATTGTACTTTGTTGGGTATGCCCTGTAACAATATATTTTCCTGTCTGTCTGTCTGTCTGTCTGTCTGTCTGTCTGTCTGTGTGTGTGTGTGTGTGTGTGTGTGTGTGTGAGTATCCTGCCCCCTGAATGTATGATTGTTCTGCACAGTCAGCTAACAGCTGCTAATGACATTGCAAAACACACACACACACAGTTATTGCTCACTTTTCTGTGTATTCATTCAGTCCGCGCGCACACACACGCACACACACGCCTCTCTCTGATTAGTATGCTGCTCTTTATAAATGATCTGTTTTTGTGTGTGCGTGTGTGTGTTTCCTCACTGAGCTGATGTTCTCCTGGTTGCGTCGGACCCTCTCCATCTCAGGGGTGTCGCTGACGGAGGTGCCGCTCCCCACCCCCTCTCTGTACTGCACCTGAGCACAGACACACACAGCATGTCACTTTTTTAAGGTCTGAGATGTGGAACAGAGGGCTGTTTATTAGTATCAGTAACTGCATGCTCACTTTATATCCTGGACCCTGATTTTCAAATTCTCAATGAGTGAATGTGATGTATACGTACGTCACTGATCCTCTTGCTGTTCTCTCTGGCGAGGACGATCTCCGGTGTCTCTGTGACTGAAGACAGGAGGCCTCGCATCAGACGAGAGTCCCAGCAGTACCGCAGCTACACAGAGAACATATCAAACATAAAATATGAACAGAAAAACACTCAGTGAGGGTGCATTACAGGGAACAGAATATGTTCAATCCTTGTAAAGGTTCAGAGGATGAAATATAAACATAAAAACACATAAAACCATCCAAGCTCAATCTTTTAGCAGGCACATTTTCCACTTCTTGTCCTTTTATAACGGTCTGAGAAGCGCTTTTTCATAAAGCCTACACAAACATTTTTTATTGTATTCCCAGAAAGCTTTCCTTACAAAACAATACTGTATGCAGGAAGTGTAAATGAACCCCATGTAAAACAAAAACATGCTTTTTTCTCTCTTTTTCAAGCTAAACATACAAATAAACCTTTGCATTTAAGGGATGGCCTAATATCTTTAATTCAATATGTGGAAAAGTCCAACGGTTTGAGAATTAGGTTGAATCTAAAGCCATTTCTTTAATTAGAGATATATTGCTAGAAGGATTTGATAGTAGTAAGTAAATGGCCCCCCAAGCAGTATATAATAAAGGTGTGTGTGTAACAAATGAAGTGTGTGTGCTCACAGAGCTGATGTGCCTCTGGTTGTTTCTGACTCTCTCCATCTCGGGGGTCTCTGAGGTCAGACTGTAGCGACCCTTCAGACGCTCCGCTTCGTCTTTATACTTCTTCTGCAGGAGAGACAGAAACACACTTTATCTCATCATGTTTGTCAACTGTCTGTGACGACAATAGACAAACATTTATATTTTGAACATCCTAATTTAAGATTATATAAAGCACTTTGAAGAGCAATTGATTTGGTCAAAAGGTGATTTATAAATAAAGTTTGATTGATGATTGACTCATTATCAATACCTCGTGTTTTTACTGCAAACCAAATATATTTACAGGTGGGTTCAGTGTTGCATAAGAACAATTTATAGGTACTTTAATTGAGTATTTTCTGCTACCTTATATTTCTACACCATGAAATATATTACTATTTCGTACAATATAATTAACATACACAGACAGACAGAGAGACACACCTGACTGTACATGTCTTTGAGGTAGGAGGCGTGGAGCAGCTCAGGAGTGTCTGTCACTGTCCCGAAGGAGCTTCCTGTCTCCTTCTGCTTATAGGATCTCTGAAACACAGACACACAAACACTTAGCTCAAGTGTTGTCATCACAGCTGTTGTCCTCTTATGTATGACAACTTCATACAGCTTTCATTGTTCAAAAAGCTCACACACACCTGGCTCTGGATCTCTGAGGCTCTCTTGGCTCGTTGCATGTCGAGGACGTCAGCGCTCAGCTCCATGCCTTTCCCCACGATGTCCCGCTCCATATCCTTGCGGTACTCCTTCTGCACACACACCAAGAACACAGACATCAACACAAAGTCCCATACTTTCACTTATTCAGGCCCCTAAAAATCCTTTAAACAAGTAAAATACGGAATATTTCCAACTTTCCTAGCCTCTAAAATCCTAAAAAATAATACATTTTTTATACGAAGTTAAATACTGATTATCTTCACCTTTTCAAGCATTTAAAATCGTTAAAAGTACTGAATAGTGTGTGTGTGTGTGTGTGTGTGTGTGTGTGTGTGTGTGTGTGTGTGTGTTACCTGGCTCATCAGGCTGCTGGCGTGGCAGGCTGTGATGTATCCAGGGGTCTGGTCTACGTCCATCGAGGCTCTCCCCTTCATCTGCTCATCGTGATCTTTCCGATACTCCCTCTGAGCGAGACACACAACAAATAATAGTGATTCTGTTATTACACGTTTAATCATCTTCTAAATTCTCAAATGTCAGCACTTCAGAGAGCAGAGTGGAAGAAGAGAGTTTTACCTCGCTTTGCATCTTCTGAGCTTCTTTAGACACTTTGTAGTGCTCTGTGTCTGCAAACTCCATCTGAGAGCGACCTTTGTTCCTCTCATACTCCTCTCTGTACTTCACCTGAAACACCACACACTGATAAGTCATTACTGAAGAACAGAAGAAGAAGATGATGAAGAAGAAGAAGAGGAGTCAGCAGTGACCTGGCTGTGCAGCGTGGCGTTCTCTCTGTGGTGAATCTGCTCCGCCGTGTCCACTGCCGTGTGGAACTGACCCTTGGACTGCTCATACTTCTTCTTATACTCCACCTGACACACATACAAATACATTTGCAAGCCTCTTAAATCCTTAAAACAAGTCAAATACTGGATGCCTTCACCTATTCAAGCCTCTTAGAATCCTTAAAAATGGTACAAAATGTAATAATGTACCTTCTTTAAACCTCCAAAACATTCTCAAACAGGTAAACTATAAATAATTGTTATCATATATATGTGAAGTGGCTTTTGGGAAACCTCTTTAGGAGAACTGTCAAATATGTATAGGATATCTCCCAATAAAAAACACTTGCTCCTGAAACACCAGAAAAGATCAAGAGGAAAGATTGTTACGTGTTCCTGGTCATTGGAGTAGCAATACATCAACAAATTACAAGGAATTGGTTAAATAAGGTATAACTAAGGTGTTGGTGGCAGTGTGTGTCGTACGTTGCTCTGCAGCTTGCTGGCGTGCAGGACGTGCTCCAGGTTGAGCAGGTTGGGCAGGTCTGAGGAAGACTCTGGCTTCTGCTTCTGGTTCATCTTATATTTCACCTGCAGGACACAACACTATACAGATCAGTACGATGATATGATACGATGTATACTTCATTGTCAGATCGAGTCTAAATAGTTTCTGTCATCAGAGTCTTCATTCGCAACAGGGGAGTAAAGGGGAGCAGATTTTGGTGAGAACTCCAAGGAAATACTGAACATTTCCAGACATTATCACAAGGTGTGAGTTATTATGTTTCTGGTTATAGATTTTGAAGAGTTAAAGGCCTCACCCTTATGATTTTTGCTTAAAATAAGACTCTCTTAAGAGTAGCTCCAGAGGTTGCAAACATAAACCCATCCTCCAGGTTTCACAGCCTCAAAAAACACTTTGGACCTTTCTTGCGGATTTAGTGCCAAAATCTTCCAGACTTTTGCCAAATTCTTTCCCAAAAAAACATGCATTCAGAAAGCTGCCTGTGCAGCTTGATGTCTCTTTTTCTGAAAGCAGCTCAGCGTGAACACCAGGCAGCGTTCAACACAACAAGATGTTACATAACGCTGTGGAGAGGGAAAGCTCTTGAGGCTGTGTGGGCAACAAGCAGAATAAAACCGTGTGTGTGACTGCTTCGTCATATTTATATGCATTTGCATGTGTCTGATGCTGTTCTTTGTGTGTGTATAAATGCGTGGGTGTGTATCTGTGTGTGTGCGTGTGTAACCTCTTAAACTTATCCAGCTCTCATCCTACAATCCCTCTCCATTTGCCTTATAAAGGTAGCCATGGTTACATCCACACAACAGACTTAATTGAACAGACACACACTCCTGCAAACACACATAGACACAGTTTGTTCCTCTTAAACTCATGTTTTCTTGATGATTTAAACATGGAGGAAACGATTCAGATTGGTGAGATCTTTTCAAACACAATAACAAGCATGTCTTTTGGGAGACACACTTGGATGATTAAATAAAATTACAATTATATTTTTGGTTAATAAAGTGTTGCTGCTTCACCACAGAAAATCCTGCCCTTGATTTGTTTGTCAAATGAACAGACTAAAAGTTAAATGTGAATTATGTGACTGTGCTGTAGTTTCCCCATGTCCTATTGTTATCTTTTAAATTCCAAAAAACATTAAATGGTGTTAATATGTGGAGATTATTCAGCGGAACAGAACCTGTAAGTATCATTGAAGTTTCAGTGTGTTTAATTTCCTCACCTGGCTGGCCAGGGCAGAAGCGGCTTGTGTGTGTTTGAAGGAGAGACAGTCCAGAGGGTTGTAACACGGACGCTGGCCCTTTAAATCTTTGTCAAAGTTCTCCTTATACTTCACCTGCAGGGAAAACACATAGAGGTTAACTATCATCTAGGAATCTGAACAATGCATGCTGGGTAGGCTGTGTGTGTGTGTGGGTGTGTGTTACCTGGCTGGCCAGTTTTGACACCTCCCTGGCATGCTGGATGTCAGTCCGCGCCAGAAGAAAGCCGTCACTGTAAACATGCTGCTTACTCTTATAGGCTACCTATAGAAATACCATAGACACACACACACACACACACACACACACACACACACACACGATGAAAATATGTGGATGAGGAGAAATACAAATACACAACTATTTACAGTATATAAAGATTACAACATTTAAATTGTTGGAACACACACCAACACGTACACAGATGTTTCATAATAAATGCAGAAAGACATGCATTTATGGACACACACTCTCACAAATTGTTAAAATAGCCCAACAAAACAGGTATACACAAACACAAAATAACCAACACTATATGGATGTGCAGACAAACAACAAACATGTAGAAAGCAAAGGCACACAAACGATCATTTTCTTGAGTGTAGTATTCCTTTTAAGGACACAAACACTCACATATAACATAAACTCACAAATAATTAAAAAGAGAAACAGAATAGATACAGAACTCATGCTGCTATCTTGAAACATTTAAGCTATACTTGTTCTTGTGTAGGATGTTTGCCACACACACACACACACACACACACTCTTACATAAGAACAATTCAGTGTTAACAGCAGAACGTTTTCTTTTATTTATTGCGGTTCCTCTTTGAGAACAGCTGGTGAACGAGACGGTTGTCATGGAAATGAAATGTTCACACTCTCCCTGGCGCACACACACAACACACACACTCACGTCGCTGGCCAGCTTCGAAGCATTGGAGGCGTTGATGATGTCGGGTCTGTTGGCCTCTGAGCTGTAGCGATGCATCTCCTCTCTACCTTTCCTGTAGCTGACCTGAGAACAGCAGAGGATACTCAAAGAGACACTGAGACCACATTAAGGTTTGATGTTCTTTACCCGGGCCTACTGGAAGGAAACTACAGCATGTATTCACCTCGCTCTGGTTCCTGTTCACCTCCATGGCGTGCTCCACCTCCGGCAGCGTCGCCATGTTGGTGTAGCTCGACTTCCCCTTGTCTCGGTTGAACTTCTCCTTATAAAACTTCTGCAGACAGAAAAGATAGAGGACCATTAAAGGAGTAGAACAAATAAAGAGAGCTTACAACAATGAAAATTAGGAATTCACTGCATGGAAAATGATTATTAAACTTAGTGAAAATTAAAGTTGCTGCTTTCTGTGTTTACTTTAGATGAGCAGATTTCAAATTGAATTGTATGGTGGTAATAGATGCTTTTGAGTAAATTAAAGTACTTCAAATCGTACTTAAGTACTGTTTTTAGTAACCTTTTACTACTGTTTCTTACATATAATACAATAAAACGTAAAGTAGACACATATCATACAAAAGAAAGTGTCAAGTTATATTAATGTCTTCAAGTATTGATGTATTATTCTTTGTTCCTGAGGTACTCTTCACAGATAATAAAGTTTGACCACAAAGACACCTCATGATTTTCTCTGATTTCCTCTCATAGCCTGCGGGTCTCAGATCAGTTTCTATAGAGAGAGTTCTGCAGACAGTGTGCTGGTAATCTTACGCTCCAGTTAGCCACACATTGCTCGGTCAGCAGACAGAAACAGAAAGCAGCGTGTCCCACTTCATCACCCCCCAAACACAGACTCATCAGACCACACACACACACACACACACACACACACACACACACACACACACACACACACACACACACACACACAACACACACACACACACACACACATACACACACACACACACACACACACACACACACACACACACACACACACAACACACACACACACACACACACACACACACACCACACACACACACACACACACACACACACCTGATTTAACACTCCTGCAGTTGCTTCACTTCTTATGTTTGCTTTGGACCTTTTTCTGAATGGCCCCTAAAACAGCTGATTCATAACTCTCATGTTAGAGTTTAAGGAGACATTTGATTTATTTCCAATAACCTGTGTTCATTTCAGAGGTGTCAGTTTTAACACTAATCTAGTGAAACATGTGCCTGCCCCAGATTACGTATCAAAACCTGTGTGTGTGTGTGTGTGTGTGTGTGTGTGTGTGTGTGTGTGTGTGTGTGTGTGTGTGTGTGTGTGTGTGTGTGTAGATCAGTGTCTGTGTCCTCAGGCGGTGGAAAACACACAGCTGCTCTCTGTGTTAACGCCTGAGCGCATAAAATGATACTAACCTCCCTCTGTGTGAGTGTGTTAAGCAGAGAGCATCTTGGGGTGTTTAAATACGACTCATTTACTCAAGAATCATTGTCTCTCCTTCCCTGCTGCTCTTCTCTGAGCTCTAATCTCTACAGTTCAGCATGTGTGACATTTGTTTTAAGATGTTTATTCTTTTATACACACATTTAAAAAGTCTGCTCTTTTCTTATTGGGATTTTATGCAAACAATAGTAATAATAGCAATCTGTCCCCAGATAAAGCAGATCTTTTTTATTTTGAATGTTAGTGCTTGAAGAAAGCTTTACAGAGAATCTGATCATTTAAGATATCTACTTTCAATATCGATTTGAAACAGGTGTAGGATTATGCAATTTGAATGACACACAAAGCATCTTAAAAATAATGTTTTTTTTACAGAGTAAAACAAAATCCTGAATCCTTTTCACTTTGCAATAACAGTCACACTTTAAAGCTATTCATTCGTTTTGTGTCTGTGATTATGTCACATGTGCTCGATTTATAGTTAACTTTGTTGTATACACATGTGTTAGCTTCTTTATTTAATGTTGGCCTACTTATTTTTGCTCGATTCATTCATCTGTACTGTTTATTTTCTGTTGTAAGGATGTTCATTTCCCGCTGTTGGACCAATAAAGGATTCCCGAAACCACAGACTCACATCGCTCTGTGTCTTGGCGATCTCTTTGGCGAACACCGTCTCGATGGTTTGAGGCATCTGAGAGTACAGACTGCAGCCGGCGTCCTTCTTCCCCTCCTCCCTGTACGCTTTCTGCAACACAGGAACACGTGAGAAACATTTATTGGTATTGGATTAATACTCACATCAGCAGATTGGTATTGGAATCGTTTTTAGGGGAAGGATCGTTAAATCAATGCATTCATAATAAGAAATGTGTGCGTATCTCATGCTGAGGGTTTAGGGTTGCTTAAATTAGGACCACATTTCCCATAGGCCTTTGCTCCCTCTGTTTCTGCTTTTCCAGTCAAGTTACTTCCAATTATCTGTAAAGTAAATACTAAGCATGGATCGTGTTTGTAATGTTTTTAACTAAAGAAAAAAAGAATAATGCACCATAAAAAAGAATTCTAATACACAAACAGCTGAGATGGGGGAGATTAAACTTCTTTAAAAGATATCTCATAACATTTTCAAATATCTAACATGATTAATGCCAGTGCAATTGAATACACACAGACGATGGCTATGCTAGGACTGTTTTTTAAGTAGAATGACTCATCTCATACTTTGTCCCCTATTCAAATATGGGACTGAAAACCAGAATCCAAGGCATGAAGATAAAAGGTTTAGAAGCTAGTTGGCACCTCGCTGTGCAGCTGACTCTGCTCTTTGGCGTGTTGAGTGTCCTTGGTCTCTGGCAACACAGAGTACAGAGAGTTCCCCAGCTCCTTCTTACTCGCCTGCTTGTATTTACTCTGCGAACACAAAGCAACAATATTAGATATTATTCTGTATATAATATATTATGCTCAGAGTGAAAACACAATACTGCTGCTGCTGGCACTCTGCGTGGACGTGAGCAACACAACATTTCCTTTTGTCATATTTTACTGTCGGGCCTTTAATTAAATCAAATCATTACTTCTATTATCTTACAGCACTGTTACTTCTATTCTTGTATTTAATACCTGTTTTAGTTTATTTTAGCTTGCTTGATCTCTATTCTCGTGGCTTTTTAATCATAAAACTTAAACTTGCTTTAGCATCCCCTGCACGTTGAAAGGTTATGCTGCTTCAAGTACAGTCACTAGTTAATATTTGAATGCATTTTTACTGAAGACACAATAAGTTCATTTGATAGAAAACCTTTTTTCTGCGACCATTGAGCACTTTAAACATTTCCTTTTCTGTCAACTATTCCTTTGATAATATATAAACATTGTTGCTGATAATATAAAACAGTTTGAAATAAATGTATACTTATTCTGACAAATACAGACATAGAATCTGATTAAGTATTTATTGAAATTCGCTTTAAAACCATTAAGTTGTGATATTTGTGAAATAAATTATTTTCACATTGTAACACTTTAATGTCCTGCAGGCAATTTGTGATAAATATTGTCCCCTTGAAAATCGTTACTGAACTGATTTTGGATATTTGTACTTTGATAACATTAATCTGCCCTTCAATGTTGACCATTTCCTGGATCTGCTCGGGGATTCTTCAAATCCCGCCAAATGATGTGTGACGTCATTGCGGGCACAGCGCTCCAGCTGCACCGTTCAGGATCCCAGCATCTGCATGTAAACGCACGATGGCGCACACAGCAGCAAGCTCAGACAGCGATGACAGTTTAATTTTGAACGTGTCTGAGAGCTCATATGAGGCTGAAGGATCGGTTTATGTTGTATCTGTTAGAAGTTTAGGAATTAGGTGCGTCAATATGGGCGATCATTCGGTCATGTAGCCAGTGGTGGACTGGGACTAAAAATCATCCCGGGACTCTCGACCGGCCCACTTCGGTACCGCTAGTAAATTGTCAACGGGGGGAGTGGGGGATGTGCTAGTGACTTATCCGACCGGCCCACTTCGGTACCGGCCCATCGGGATTCGTCCCGATGGCCAGTCCGCCACTGCACCCAGCCCACGTAAACTGTCAACGGGGGGAGCCTCGCTGCGGGGAAACGGTGGACCTAGTGTCCCGATCGGAGTGGGAATAATAATAATAATCCGTGCATTTTATCCATTAATTTCCCCAACATTGTGGTAAAAAAACCACACGTTTAATCCATGTTGGTGTACAACTATAAAAAGCATCGGTTTGTTTTTTCATCAGGAAATGCAGACCGGCTCAAACAAACGATTTTTAGTCATCATCCTCACGATCATTTAATGTATCATATGTTCGCCGAATTGACATGAAAGCACTAATAAATGTAGTTTCATCCACTTGAGTTTACAACTACAACAATAATCGATTTTATATCACATCCGACTGGAGGAAATTCAGCAGCTCTCACTACCGATTTGTAATCCTAATGTAATCATCATCTTCACCACGATCATTTCTGTTTATGTTCGCCGAATTGACATGAAAGCACTGACAAATATGAATATACTGTAGTCAACTTCATTAAAACGTTATTAACGTGCCTAAACTCAGTAATTCACCATTTCTACGCATGACAACACACTTTGTCCGTGTTTGGCTCTCTCGCCGCACAGTGAAGCGTTCCCGCATTGACGTCACTTCCGGCTTCCCCCAAAACTTCAAAATGAATCGAAGGAATTTCCCGCGATGTTCGAAATTATTGATATTTATTGGAACGGTATCGCACCTTCTTTTTTAAACTGACGGTTCGAGATGACTAGTAGCCCAATATTTCATTGCACAACAGTTGTTGGGATGCTGTCACAGGCTCTTTAAATAGAAGTAAAAAATAAATGTTACTTAGTACTTACAATGTATAAGTATAAAATGTTAATGACATGCAGGCATCTTTTCATCACAGTGTTTGGAAAGTTCCCATAAAAATGGTTCATCAGTTCTGACTCCTGTGGTGAATTATTAATCTGTACTGTTTGAGAACGAGAACAAATCAAACTCAAAGCACAAAGTGGCTTCTCCAGACAAACACACATTGAAATATTCACACAGTGTGTTTTGGATGTGTGTGTTTCTCACCTCGCTGTGTGTCTCAGACATCTCTTTCACAAACTGAGTCTCCAGAGTCTCCGGCAGCAGAGAGAACAACGTGTTGGGAAGATCCTCTTTGTCCTTCTTGTACTTTGTCTACCAGAGATATATTAAACAGATCAAATATGTAAATATATTTCTTATTGTCATAAAAACTGTTAGAGGGGAGTTGAGCGTTACCTCACTCTGGAGTTCAGAGATGTGTTTGATGAAGTCCATCTCTTTAGTCTCAGCCATCTGGTGGAAAGCACTGCAGCTGTTCTCCTGCCTGCCTTTCTCCTTATATTTGTTCTGCAACACACACACACACACACACACACACACACACACACACACACACACACACACACACACACACACACACACACACACACACACACCACACACACACACACACACACACACACACACACACACACACACACACACACGACAATATAATAATGCCCATCAAGTAAAACATCTGTATGTTTTCACTGCCCTTTACTCCTGATGTTTGTTTTATTTTCGTCAAAATGAAACAATCAAATCAAACTAGATTCTTATTTTCCAAAGACACTTGTTTAATTAAAAGTAAAAAATGCATTTATTATTACTACATTTCCAATATGGCACGGGAAATGAATCATTAGTGGTGGAATTTAAGTACATTTACTCCACTTTTGTGTGCTTGTTTGTTTGCTTTGCAAGGTTTTATACACTTTAACTACATTTCTTATGATACTTTCGATATTGACTGTTTTGACAGGGTGGAATAAGTACTTTTACTTCAATAAAGTATCTGAATAGTACCTCACTCTGCAGCTCCATGGCAGCTTTAGCGACCTTCATCTCTTCTGTCTGCGGCAGCACAGAGTACAGAGAGGAGCCCATATCCTTCTTCCCTCCTTCCTTATACTTCACCTGGAGAGGAAACAGCGTGGTCAGAGACAGAGGCTTTGAGGAAGTTGTCTACAGTGTTCTCCTCGGTACATGTGAGTGTTATTATACCTGGCTCTGCAGCTCGGAGGCCTCTTTAGCGTGCAGCGTGTCCAGAGTTTCAGGCAGTGTGTGGTACAGAGCGCTGCCCGCCTCCTTCCTGCTCGCCTCCTTATACTTAGCCTGCAGGAAACATCCGCTGTTAGCCACCGTTTACACCACCTCTGATTGTGGTGTCACTGAAGATCTTTTGTTAGTGTGTTGGTCTGTTTATTACAATATAAACAGTGGTTTAACTAGTAATAATAGGATATTAATGCTGAACTACAGTGGAGACCTGTTGGACCTTAACTTGAATCCAGTGAGATGTACAAAGGATAAAGTGAAACAATTAAAGAAAGATGAGTACGAGTGTTTCCTCACCTCGCTCTGTAGCTCAGAGACGGTTTTAGCTAACTGAGTCTCAGGAGTTTCTGGCAGCTGAGAGTAGAAACTCTGAGAGAGACTCCTCATCCCTTCCTCTTTGTATTTACTCTGGACACACACAGAGAAATACATTACAATCTTTCAGCAGAAAATGTGTGTGTTAGGTGTGTGTGTGTGTGTGTGTGTGTGTGTGTGTGTGTGTGTGTGTGTGTACCTCGCTCTGCAGTTTGGTCATCTTGGCGGCGAGCTGCGTCTCGGCGGTGAGCGGCAGCTGGGCGTAATGACTGCACCACATCGACTTCTTCCAGTCCTCTTTGTACTTATTCTGAAGGGAACAATGTCACTTGAGTGGGGTTTGAATTGAGTTTAAACTGAACCAGACACAATCAAGACGTAATCAAACTCAATGTCTTTTTTAACATGCTGTTTGAATACCAAAATCAATCTATCTTTGCATGAAACTCCCTCAGGATAGTGTGTGTACCTCACTCTGCAGCTCAGTGGCCTCTTTAGCATGCTGCGTCTCCAGAGTCTCCGGTAGTTTGTGGTACAGAGCGCTGCTGGCCTCTTTCTTTCCTGCTTCTTTATACTTGACCTGCAGTAAGGAAGTTAGAGTTGAGGAGAACATATGAGGCACATACAGAATTAAAACATTGTATTGTTCAGTGAATTAAAAACCCTCTTAATGTGTCTGAGCTGCACAAAAGGAGTGAGAAAGAGAGAAGTATCCGTAACTGACATGTTCTTTTATTAAGGATCGTCAGGAAAAACTCTTCAGTAGCATTTATTTTGAAAAGAACAAAGATTAAGACACCCAATTCCCTTAAAAAAGTAATAACCAGGAGCTACAGATGAGGAGTGACCAGAGGAAAACAGATGAAGCAGTGCTGGATGAAAGGATGATGTATTTCTTATTTCGTTCAGAGAATAAAAACCCTGAGTGTGGAGGAGGGGTGAGATGTAGAGAAGTATCAGCCGTTCTAAATGCGGTTCTGATAAGAAGCTCAGAATAGAAGGACGGTCCGTTTATCTGCAGTGTGTCAACATGTCAGTGAATGAATGAAGTGTGTGTGACGCAGCACACACACTTCATTCTATCTCTGAGGGCATTACACTGACGTAATCGCTCCCCCTGCAGACTTACCTTCAGACGTTTAACAAAACGCATGAAAAGAACCAAAACAACAATGTGCTGAAAGAAAGAAGTCTTATCTAAAGACATTAACCTTTTGAAAAACCCAGCTTCTCATGATCATTTTTATTAAACAAGGAGGAAAGAGTGTTTTTTAGGGACTATTTTCAGTACACATCTGGTGATCTGGTTAGTATATATTTACTAATAAAGTTTAACTAAGTTTAAAGTATTTTTGCCCTAAAACAGGGGTGGGGAACCTCCGGCCCCCGGGCCGTATAGGGCCCGCGAGACCATTTGGTACGGCCCTCAAGGTAATTTATAAACACACGCAAAAAAGAAAAAAATTAAAGAAATCTAGACCGCAAACAAATTAAACAAAGCGAGTGCCTGTTTTTCCTGGCCAAGGTCAGGGTCCTTGAACACAACACGAGCCTAACGTGTCATCACGTGGTATATGTCTCGACTGACAGGGGTGTAGTTCTGACGGAGAGCACCAGAACGTCGCTCCGGCACTTGCAAGCAGTACCCATAAGGAGCCGTACACATGCCGCAGTTCTCATTCATAACACTCCGTTCGATGTCTCACTATGGGATGCGCCTCATCGCGGAGCAAACAGAAGCATCAATCTCATTACGCCAATCCTGATTGGCTAGTGATCTTGACGTCAGCGTCAGGGAATTCACCCCCTATAAGTAGCTTGCGCCACGACGCATGCGTCATTCAAACACCTCTTCTCGCTTCAGAGCACATCTCTATAGTAGCCGGACAAGCTTAACGGTCCACAGACTGAACCCAAATATAACCATTTCGGTCGACGGGCGCTCGCCGGCTACTTCTTCTGCTTCGCAAGAAGACGGTAATACTAACGCCAGTTAGTATTAAAATCGACCTCGCCGTTTCTTTCCCCAGAAAGTAAGGTAAGGTTTTGATTTTTCTCAAGCTAGCTACGCACCTGTTGCTAGCTAGCTTCCCCTTACTACCGACACCACGGTAGCGAGGACGCTTTTCTTTTTCTCTCTCACGGAGGAGAAAAGGATTAGAAGTATATTGACACACCAGTCAATATTCTTTGAGAACAAAGGACCCACGCCGTCCCTTTTTCTCCGGATTAAGGACGGGTTGGTAACACTTTTTCTCTCAACGACGTACCTGTTACGAGCGGGTCCTCTCCACGCCACGATGCGAACAAGATGGACGCCTCTCCCCCTCACACCAGAGGAGTCAGGGACTCGGAGGCTCGGTCATGCGGCTGCGGGTTGAAGATAGCAGGCCCAGACTCACACCAGGTCTGCTCGTCCTGCCTCGGGCTGGAACACGCCCAGGAGGCTATCGACAACCCCGGCTCGTGCGGGCATTGTGCCCGTTTCACCCGAAAGAGCCTCCACCGACGGCTAGCACACCAAGCTAGCTTGTTGGAACAGGACTCCCTCATGTCCACTGATTCGCCGTTTGGCAATCAAGACACGGGAGCGTCCGCCGCAGAGACTGAGCCCCTCACTCTGTCGGTCTGGGGCTCACTAACAGCGGCAGCTGCGGAACCGGGATCCCACGCCGTGTCAGGCCGGGACCCGGTGGCGGCAACAGACGCGGGAACGGAGCCCCCCGCCTCACCAGGCGGGAGCTCCCGGCGAGACCTCACCATGATCTCGCCCGCGGAGGATGTCCTGGAATTAGACTACATGGAGGATTCGGATGAGCAAGAAGAAGATATCTTCATGTCATCGGCTCAAACGGCAAAGCCGGGAGCGATGGCTGCTCTCCCGGGCGATAGCACACCAGCTTCGCCCTGTCTGAGCATGGACCTGCAGGCCGCGTGTCAGCGCGCTGCGTCCAGGCTAGACATCCCGTGGCCCGAAATGGCCAAGGAGACCGCCAGGTCCCGTTACGAGGGGAAACATTCTCCCCAAGCAACGAGGACAAGGAGGCAACTCCTCCCGGTCTTCCCGGAGATGTTGGATGAGGTGTCGGTCTCGTGGAGGGACCGACCCTTTAGCAACAAGGCCCCAATCCAGGGTGCCTCCTCCCTAGACTGCGATGGTATGGAGAGGCTCGGCCTGCTCCGCATACCGCCGATGGAACTGCTGGTGGCAGCCCACCTCCTACCGAGGATGGGCCCGTCACCAAGCAGGAACCCCACGCTGCCAGCGAAGGTGGACCGTTTCCAGACGACCATGACTGAACGGTCCTACAGAGCCGCAGCGTTGTCCGCCATGGCTCTGAACGTTTCCTCACTGCTAACCGCATACCAAGCGAAGTGTCGAGTAATCCTGGACCGGCCGTTCTGGACGAGTTGGCCGCGGTCACAGACATTTGTCTCCGTGTCCAACGCTGCGCCGTCCAGGCCACGGGCAAAACAATGGGGATCATGGTGGTGCAGGAAAGAGCTAGATGGCTCAACCTCACCAACCTCCCAGACCGGGAAAAGGAGGATGTGCTTGACATGCCCATCGTTCCCGAGGGGATTTTCGGCTCCGCTCTTGCCTCCATACAGAGGAGATGCGAGTCGAAAAAGAAGGAGGACGAGGCCCTCCACCTCTGCCTCCCTCGAAGGGCCCAGCCGCTGCCTTCACAGCGGTAGCCCTTCGTCCAAGCTGCCCCGAACCCTGCTCGGTTCAAAATACCGAAAACGCAGAGGTCGCAGTCCGCCCCGAGTCCCCAGCCCAGGCAGGGGACGAGGGCGAGCTGGCCTAGAAAAGCCAACCCAGAATTTCGGCCAGCAGTCGAGGAAGAAGAAGCGAGCGGCGTGACAGCCCCTCCTTCTCCCCTCTGTGACAGAGCTGGAAGTCTACGGTTCCCCAGCTCTAAATGTGTTCCCGCCGCCTCGAGAGATGCCTCAACACCATCCTCAAGTCCGCATAAACACATGTCACACACTTATTGATTTTTCTGTCATAAAACATTTTCCGCTGACGCATCCAGGCTTCGAGCCAAGGGCGCAGCTCGAAAAAATCTGTACAGTCTTCATGCACTCAGTTCGCCCCAGGGCAAACAGAGTGTGGTTGAAGCCCAACCCTGCCTTTATCTTAAGGCGGTTGGTTCAGGTACCACATTTGACATTGAGGCATCCTCCCCGCCACTGTATTCCTCCGGGGAACAGCGGCCGGATTTGCCGTGTCCAGCCCGTGCTTTACGCACGTACAGGGACAGATCAAGGGTGCTTCGTCATAATGACCAACCCCTTGTGTCCCGGGCTAACCCTTATAAGGGCAAGCCTGTTACTAAGCAACGGCTCTCCCACTGGTTTGTGGAAGCAATTGCTTTGGGGCTCATACGAGTCAGAGTTCGCAGGCACCCTCGGGTCCGCGAGCTCTTTCGACTCAGGGTCTGGCTGCATCCTGGGCTCTGTCCAGGATGTCTCCCATCCAAGACTTTGGTGCAGCGGCGAGCTGGTCCTCGCCGCTCACTTTTGTCCGCCTCTTAACAGGCTGGACGTTCTGCTCCCAGTGTGACTCAAGCAGTGCTGGGCACCTGGTTGAGTCAGAGCTCTACCTGTTGAGTTCTGGTTGGTTTGGTGATTTTCGAGATAAGCTCGTCTGACAATACGGGAGCTACAATTTCCCATAGTGAGACATCGAACGGAGTGTTATGAATGAGAACTATAGGTTACTTACATAACCCCAGTTCTCAGAGTAACATGAAGTGAGATGTCTCACCAGACGGCCCTCCTTGCTATGGTGAAGCGAGAAGAGGTGCTTATTTTGAATGACGCATGCGTCGTGGCGCAAGCTACTTATAGGGGGTAAATTCCCTGACGCTGACGTCAAGATCACCAGCCAATCAGGATTGGCATAATGAGATTGATGCTTCTGTTTGCTCCGCGATGAGGCGCATCCCATAGTGAGACATCTCACTTCATGTTACTCTGAGAACTGGGGTTACGTAAGTAACCTATAGTTTTTGCTTGGCTGTGTCTTTAGTTGAAAGCCCGGTGGCGATCTGCTCATCTGTCATACTGATCATACTGTCAATAACTTTGTTGTTATTAGCATCTAGTTAGCTAGCTATGCTAACGAATATAAGAAGCTTTTTCTACAACCAGTGAGGTAAAGGCACATCTTTATATGATCATTATAGTTGTAAAAAAATAAGAGAATAAAGTAAACGGGTATAAAATACTATATGACAGTAAAAAAAAGTTGTTATTAATAAACAAGAATACAGTTTGAAAGGAGAGTGATTTGTAAAATATCCATAAAGAAAAATAAATCCGCTTGCAGTTCTGTTTCATATGTGTTGAGAGATGTATCCATAGATCTCCTAATGTTGCTCTCAAAGTGCACCAGATTGATGCTTTTAATCCCCCCCCCCCCCATTTAAATCATGTCCACATGGATAGGAAACTAAATACATTTGCACACATCTTGTGTCCAATATCTTTCTGTTTTGGTGGTCATGCCACAACCGTGCACGTGCATGCATACGCGAGTCATGGTCAAATATCTGGATTAAGAGGTTGCTTTTTCTTTGCACAGCATGAAAGAAAGGCGAAATGAATGGGCTGTGATTTTAGTATTTTTAAGCAGAGGTCAATAATTTGTACGGCCCTCGGAGGATGTTGTAAAAATTGAAATGGCCCTTGAGAGGAAAAAGGTTCCCCACCCCTGCCCTAAAATGTGAGGTGACTCCCCATAAAACAAATTTAAATCCTTGTAATATCATCAATAACTGTAAAAGTTTCTCACCTCACTGTGTGTCTCAGACATCTCTTTGATAAACTGAGTCTCCAGGGTCTCCGGCATCAAAGAGAACAGCGTTTCAGAAAGATCCTCTCTGTCCTTCTTGTACTTTGTCTTCACACAAAAAGACAAAAGAAAAAGATTGGATTGAAGTCATTCAATATTCTGGTTGTTCCCTTTTATACCGTTAAGTTCAGATAAATACAAGGTGAATGTAGAAGATGTTCAGGTATTCAGTAAAATATTTACAACATAAAACATCTTTATATTCAACAAGAATACTGACATTAATCATTAAACAAAATCAGTATAATCATTTGGAAAAAAACGGGACATAAATATTAGTTTTCTATTTTTATTTTATTCCAAAATGAAATCACAAAACCAATATGCCACTATCCTCAATTTCACAACTATACTCAGATTTAGGATTTTTTTTTTATCATTGGCACAATATAGTTTTACTACACTTGAATAAAACGTTGCCTTTACCTGAATGATAATTGCAGTTCTTATAATCAATTATGCAAAATAAACGGTCGAAATTGACCATTTTGTTTCAATAAAATGCATTCGCTAATGTTATTTCTGTCTGCAGTAGTAATACAAACACACTGTAAGATCATAATAAGACTTTCCCCTTGCAGAGCACCTGTATGATGCGTTCAGGGTCCTCACCTGGCTCTGTATTTCTGACATCTGCTTGGCGAAGAATGTGTCTGCCGTCTCAGGGAGGAGCGAGTACAAGTTCTTCCCCAACTCCTTCCTCCCCTCTTCTTTATACTTCACCTGAGGAAGAGAGTGCAGAGCTTAGAAACACAGCAGGGATACTTTTTTGACTTTTCCTCTCATCTGTCACTTTTTCTCACCTCGCTGTGAATGTTTTTCAGATCTTTAGCCAGCTGAGTCTCTGAGGTTTCAGGTAGCTGGTGGTACAGAGAGCTGGTCGCCTCCTTCCTGCTCTCCTGCTTATACTTCACCTGCACAGAGAGGGAAAACACAGAAACATTGGTGTTGTGAAGTGGCATTGGATCATGGGAGTTGTTGTTCTCACCAAGCCTTTGAGGAACAGAATTATACAGCCAAAGTAATACACAAATACTGCTTGTACACACCTGGCTCTGCAGCTGTGAGGCCTCTTTAGCGTGCAGCGTGTCCAGAGTCTGCGGCAGCTTCGAGTACAGAGAGCTGCACGCCTCTTTTCTCCCTGCCTCCTTATATTTAGCCTGGAAAAAAAATACGAAAATCACAATTAAGAACAAAGGGAACTTTTGTATCTGATGCGGCAAACACTGTGACTGCAGGTAAACAAATGAGCATTAAACAAATCAATACAATCAAACAACATTTAAAGTAAATCATTACCGTACCTCACTTTGTATTTCAGAAACAGATTTTGCAAACTGGATCTCGTTGGTGTCTGCCAGCTGAGAGTACATACTGACAGACTGGCTCTTCTTCCCACTCTCCTTGTACTTGTTCTACAGACGTATAAACACATATTCAGAAAGATACTTTATTTCTTGTATTATCATAGTTGTGTTGCAGTAGGTGCATGTCTTATTCAAACTATATATTGTCCTACAAAATCATCCAGATGATTGTAATGAGGATAATATCTCCATCTACTGTATAGAGAACTCTTTTTCCTGAGCTGGACATATTGTTTTATTCTGAAAATGTTGTTATTTAGGTAATTTTAACAAAAAGAAAAGTGTGTTTGCTGTACCTCACTCTGAATCTCGCTCATCTCTCGTGCAAACTGAGTCTCTGATGTATCAGGAAGCTGAGAGTAAAGAGACGACGTCATGTCCTTCCTCCCCTCATCTTTGTACTTTTTCTATCGGAAAAATAGAAAGAAAAGTGAGAAAACAAGAGGACATTCCCCACAGTAAAAGAGAATCATACATTTAGGGGGAAGTGTACGTTTTATCAACATAGCTTTTTTAAGATCAGACAGAAAACAGAATATACAGTAAAGGTAAAGAGACACTCACCTCACTCTGCAGTTCAGTCGCTTCCTTGGCGTGTTTCGTCTCCAGAGTTTCTGGAAGTTTGGAGTAAAGAGAAGACGCTGTCTGCTGCTTCCCAGCCTGCTTATACTTCACCTGACACACACACACATATACACACACTTGTTAAAACAACACTTTGACTACAATCTAAAGTATTAAACCCACGACAGTCCTCCTACTCCAAAATATTTTTATTTTCCAGAGAACTTCTGTAAAACATGTATCTGCTTTTAACCAGCGTTATCAGACGTGCATGCTATTGGCGGTTGATTAGCAACCATTCTGTGACATCATCAGCTGTCAACCAATAGGATTTCAGCTCCATGCCCTGGTTGACCCAACTTGTGGACACATGTTATTCAGAACAACACAGTTAATGTCACTGTCATAACATTACTGAGTGTTCTTTAAAAAGACCATTCACACCAACAAAAGCAACATTACATCCTGTTATATATTGCATAAAAGCTGTAAGAAACTCCAATAAACTACTATAATATACATCTCACCTCGCTGTGTGTCTCAGACATCTCTTTCACAAACTGAGTCTCCAGAGTCTCCGGCATCAAAGAGAACAACGTCTCAGAAAGATCCTCTTGGTCCTTCTTGTACTTTGTCTGGAGGCAAAAAGACAAAAGATTGATTTAAATTGAGCACTGTGAAAAGCGTTATATTAATGTCACGTATATTGCTATTTTTCTATCATTATTTCAGCGTTGACAGCACCTGGCTCTGGATCTCTGACTGGTGTTTGGCCAGATGCATCTCTGCGGTCTCAGGGAGGAGGTGGTAAAGAGAGGAGGACACGTCCTTCTTGTGTCCCTCTTTATATTTCACCTGCATCACAAAGGGATAGAACTCATTTAGCATGTAGACGTTTCAGACTGCACACAGGGAGAGTTTCAGACAGACGCTCAAAGTGTTTTCACCTGACTCTGCAGCTGCGTCTGCTCTTTGGCCAGCTGCGTCTGCATAGTGTGAGGGAGGGTGGAGAACAGACTGCTCGACTTCCCCACCTCCTCTCTGTACTTCACCTGCACCAAACACACCCTTTATATGTGTTAATATCTCACTGAGAGAAACTGCATGGGAGGAAAAGCCTGATAATAGTGGAAAGTCGATTCACAATATACTTAGCTCAGAGTCTGTGTGTGTGTGTGTGTGTGTGTGTGTGTGTGTGTGTGTGTGTGTGTGTGTGTGTGTGTGTGTGTGTGTGTGTGTGTACCTGGCTCTGGTTCTGTGAGGCCTGCTTGGCGTGTTGTGTGTCCAGAGTTTCTGCCATCACAGAGTACAGAGAGCTGCCAGCATCCTGACGCCCAGACTTCTTATACTTTGTCTAAAATTCAAAATAAAGCATTTTATATTGATTACAATCAAATAAGATAGGATATAACACAATAAGAACATTTTTAATATGGTAAGATACAATTAAATAGATTTAAAAAAACAATATTAAAATAGACAATATAAAACACAAAATAAAAAAATAGGACAAAATTAAATAAGATAAGATAAGAGAACATTTGAGAAAAACAAGACAATATAAAATAAATTTAAAGATGAGAAAAATAAGATAAAGTAAGATTAACTAAAGTATGATAAAATATATTAAGATAAAATAAGATAGTATTAAATGCATTGAGATAAAATAAGATACAAATAATTACAATATTGCTGTGTTGTTATCACCTCGCTCTGCAGCTCAGAAACAGATTTAGCAAACTGAGTCTCAGCAGTTTCTGGCAGCTGAGAGTAGAAACTCTGAGAGAGATTCCTCATCCCGTCTTCTTTATACCTATTCTACAACCAGAGACACAAAACACACGTTATATTCAATAATAACACAGATTAATGATAAAGGGCAGGGTGTGCCAAAGTCTGATACATGTAAAACATAGAAAACAAATCAAAAGAAATGGCTCCCGCTGTTATCTTACAGTACATGTTAGAAGGTCTCCACAGAAACAGGAAGACAAATGTATCATATATTCTTCCTTACTTGGCTCTGCAAGTGAGTGATCTCTCGGGCGAACTGATTCTCCAGAGTGTCCGTCATCAGGTGGTAAAACGGAGACGACATTTCCTTCTTACCGGCCTCTTTATACAGGGTCTGCAACACAGAGGGGAAACATGGAGTCACTGAGGAGGGCGAATAAGACACTAAACATAATTCAACAACTACATTTGCGTGTTTGAGCTCTATGCTAGTCTTAATCTAAAAACTGAGTAAACTTTATATTTGATATACTAGTTACATTTTAAACATTGGTTTCTATGCTATGATAATAAACTTGCCATGTCAACTTAAATTGTGCAGAAAATCTGAAATTATTAGAATTAGAAATGTTTTATTTAACCCCGGGAGTATTTGAGATTTTGTAAACGATGATTTTTTCTTCTTTTATTCATGTGTTTACCTGGCTCTGCAGCTGTGTGGCCTCTTTAGCGTGCCGAGTCTCCAGAGTTTCAGGAAGTGTTTGGTACAGAGACGAGGACGTTTGCTTCTTCCCGGCCTCTTTGTATTTAGCCTGGAAGAACAAGGACCAATCATATTCAGGTTTATACCATATTGTGTTACACCTTAGGAAGAGTAAAAGTGAGAAAGTACAGACTATGAGTGTGATTGAAAAAAGAGAAATTCTTAAATGATATTAATTCTGCAGGTAGTTCTTGTATTAACCGACACTGAACGCACCTCGCTCTGCATGTCCGTCTGCTCTTTAGCGTGCTGCGTGTCGATGGTGTCAGGCAGCAGAGAGTACAGGTTGATGTTCATCTCTTTCTTCCCCTCTTCTTTATACTTCACCTTGATTTGAAGAAAGAAAGGGGAACGAGAACAGACTGCTGGTTAATACAGAGATCAGTTGCTGCAGGATCATGACAAATAGAAATACATCTACATCTTTGTGTTTTGTTAAATCCAATATAAATAATCCCACTTTGTGATACCTCACTGAGCATCTCCGTCTGCTGCTTATGGAACATGGTGTCGTTGGTTTCTGGCATCAGGTGGAACAGACTGGAGGCGTCTTTCTTTAGACTCTGCTTATACTTCAGCTGGAAAACACATAGCATGTTGGTCACAACCACTTTCCTTTCACAGTTTTTACAGCAGAATATAAGAAGGTAAAGCATAATAAAAAGCGTGTTTGTGTACCTGGCTCTGCAGCTGTGAAGCCTCTTTAGCGTGTTGTGTATCCAGAGTCTCGGGCAGAGTGGAGTACAGAGAGCTCGTCACTCCTTTCTTCCCTGCTTCTTTATATTTCATCTAAAAACACAAACCAAAAATTCACTTAAAACTGGCTTCGAAAGCATTAACCTATCTCATTTAAAATAAGCATGAGCACAAACCTGAGACACAATTTATCCAGTTTTTCTCCCTAGATAAATAAAATACTCTGATTCCGTTTGACACACAAATATGGAGTTGTGTGTCATCTGTATAGCTGCATTAACTGACTCATTATTTGTCCCCCTCGAATCAGCTTGGGATATATTTGAAAAGTAAATTCAGAGTGCAATGTGATTTTATAAAAAGGAATCTCTTTAAGCAGTATCCACTTAGCGCACTGTAATATAATTGTGGGACATCATCAAGCGTGTACAACTAATGTCATCCCATATTTTGCTAAATATTTGTCATATTTTAGTGAGTTCAATGATTACATAATGCATGTACCTGGCGTTCTAGCGCTACAGCTTCCAAATAAAACATAATTTATGGAGCATGTCTCTCCATTACCTCACTCTGCAGCTCAGAGACATTTTTAGCGAACTCAATCTGCGGTGTTTCAGCGAGCTGAGAGTAGAAACTCTGAGGGAGGCTCCTCTTCCCGTCCTCCTTGTACTTGTTCTGGAAAAAAATGAAAACAACAGATATTGGTTTGATATATTTGTATAAACATAAGGGGGTGATACATTGTCCAATGAGACCCCATGAGATTATATTTCCTGTACCCCCTGAAATGGTACGAATCTCCCATATTTCTCAGTCCACAGATCCGACAGTGTTAATGCCTCTCCTGTAATGCACATTAGTAACAGACTGTGAGCCCTTTGATCCTGTTTCTGATGCTAATCTAACCTCTGGTCAGTGTCTGAGGTATACAAACATCACAAAGCACTGAGTACTGAGGTTATGATTATTTATAAGTAATCAAACAGCATCCTGCACGCTGCAAACCTCATCTTTATTCAACCTCACTTTAAAATGTTTGAGGTCAAGGAGGCCCTAGTTTAGAGTGCCCCCTTTGTTTACTTGCACATTTAAAAAAAGTGGCAATAGATTCAATAGATCCAATTCATTTTCATGGGAGAAAGTACTCCGTGAAACACTAAGGTTTATAAGGAAGCAATTTCAACACTAATGGTGTCATGATGCTGCAGCCATTACATTGTGCCATCAACAGTTCATTTAAGCAAAAGGGTCTATTGCCTCTTTGAAATCCGGATATTAGCTTGGTTTACGTGACCAAATCTAACACCATAGTTCAAATGATAAGAACTTTTAAAACATGTGCATGAAAAATACTTGTTTGGCATATTTAAGTATTTATTTTAGTATAAATATATATTGTTCAATAATGTTCAGTGTTCTCAACACGTAAACTGCAGTTCTAAATCAGTGCAGATAGAAACAACATTGAAGTTATTGATGTCAAAATATTTAAATATATATATTATTCAATCATTTATTGGACATTTTACAGTACTTTAACTTACATTAATAAACATATTTGTATTCTATTTATTTCATTCTAAAAAAGAGCAACTGTCAGAAAACTGTTCTCTAATCCCTGAAATCCAGATTGTCTCTGTGTTTTATTCACCTCGCTCTGCATGTCGCTCATCTCTCTGGCCAAACTGTTTTCTGTTGTGTCGGGCAGAGTGGAGTAGAGGGAGCGGCTCATCGCCGTCTTCATGCTTTCTTTGTATTTGATCTGGAAGAAACAGCAGAGAGAAGAATGGAAACATTTTGTGATCAGACTCTGAGAAATCAGAAATGAGGAAGTGTTTTGTTCTTCTTCTTACATCACTGAGGAGCTCGCCAGCTTCTTTAGCGTGCTGTGTGTCCATGGTGTGAGGCATGAGGGAGTACAGAGACGTCTCCACCTCCTTCTTACCCGCCTCCTGGTACTTATTCTGCAAATTAAGGAGAACACGGTCACCTTGCATGAACATTTCCCAGATTAAAAAGCCACATTTAGGAGAAAAAACCTTGAGTATAAAGCTTAAAAGGGTTAGTTTGCAGATTGCAATGCAGAGATAGTTAACTTCATGAACCAACATTGTGTTCATTTGGCTTTTCTTCAAAAGCCAAATTGATTTGGACTAGACATACCTATTATTGTTTCAAATACTTTCCAGCTGTATAAAACAATAGTTCTTGATTATATACAAAAATATTCAAAGCTACATAAGTGTTTGAAATCACAATCGCAGCAAATACATTTTAAAATAGATATATTTGGGTTTTCTCCAAATGTTATCGTTCTCAGTCTTGTTCTATATAAATAATGTGTATATATGTGTATAAAGTGTGTGTTTGGTACCTGGCTCTGCAGGTCAGACATCTGTTTGGCCAGCTGAGTCTCGGTGGTCTCTGGGAGCCGATGGAACAAACTGCTCTGATTCTTTTGCTTCACTCCTTCCTTATACTTCACCTGCAGGACACCAACACAGAACAATGCAACATCACATTTATAAAAAAAAGGTATATATATGCAAATATGTGTCCCATTTTACAGTGGCAAACATCTAACATTCATTAAAAACTGTGAGTGTCAGTCTGAGGAAACAAGTACGATAGCATTTTATGGCCATTTTAAGTTTGAAAAAAATAATAATTACCTAACCTTGGGCGGGGAGAGATGTTTATTTTTTTTTAAAAGTGGTACATTTACGAGAATTATTTTGGGAAAATGTGTGTTTTTTGACAATGAACAACATGGCCGCCAATTGCTGTGTATTATGCCTGCAGTGGATCAAACTGTAATTAGCCATTACATTTAGCAATAAGGAAATATTAGTTATTTAACCCACATTTTACCATATTGTTATTATAAGGATCCAGATTTCCAAGAGATGTTAATATAAAAACTGATTTGAGGTGTTTTTTGTTAGAATAGAAACACTAATGTCCTTTTTTTTTATATTTTCTTTTTTACCCTAAAATGGACAATATATGGCATCATACACAAGAAATTAAAGAGCAAGATAAGAAAGAATGACTTGTGAATACCTCACTCTGCAGGTTTGTAACCTCTTTAGCGTGCTGCGTGTCGATGGTCTGAGGCAGCAAGGAGTACAGGTTCATGCTCATCTCCTTCTTCCCCTCCTCTTTATACTTCACCTGGAACAAAAAAGAGAAGTGCTGAATGTCTGCGCCTCATGAGGAAGGAGGAGGCTTCATTTCTTTCTGTCGTTACCTCGCTGAGGAGCTCGGAGACCTCCTTGGCGCGGGCCGTCTCTAAGGTCTCCGGCAGCAGGTGGAACAGACCGGAGGATCCTTTCTGCTTATACTTCAGCTGCACACAAACAGGGGCAGAGACAATTATCCAGCTATAAAAAGACACAGTGTGTGTGTGTGGAGAGTGTGTGTGCTGCAGGTTTTTTACTTCGCTCTGCAGCTTTGAAGCCTTTTTGGCGTGCAGAATGTCCAGAGTCTCAGGCAGTGTGGAGTACAGAGAGGAGATGTCCTTCTTTCCACGCTTGTACTTCATCTGCAAAAGAAGACCTTTCTCTTTAGAAATATCCCTCTTCCATTGGTCTCCATTTATTGTTTCTAGGTACTGAGTTACGTGCTTACCCTTTGTTTTATTGTCTTATCAGATATGATATTATTATTATTTTGTCTCTGTCTGAGTGGGTGATCTGATGTTATCTTATTTCATAGTATTTATTCTATTCCCAAAGCTAATTCTGTTTCCCTCAAGTATTTAACTATTTATATTCCATGCATCAGTTTTAAATATTAGATTGTACTTGTCATGGAGCTTCCTCTCAGCTCTGGTTTCTCTCAGTTCAGATGCAGAAGTCTGCAGAATAAATGTGTGTGTTTGTTTTCCTCACCTCGCTCTGCAGCTCAGAAACACTTTTAGCAAACTGAGTGTCTGTGGTCTCTGGGAGCTGAGAGTAGACGCTCTGAGAGAGGCTCTTCATCCCAAGCTCTCTGTACTTAGTCTGCAAAAGACAAAACAAAATCAAATATTAAGATTCCAATAAACCTTTTCAGTACGCATGCAACGTAAACAGGAACAACAACCTGCCACAGATGTTATTTTAAACAGATATTGACATTGGCTTTAATTATACATAATATTAAAGTGTTATTTCTTGGTGAGATTGTTCAAGTGAAATGATCCCTATAATCCTAGTTTCTTTCTCAGAACATTACCCCCAATCCTGTTTTATCACATACAATGGACCTATTTCCTTTATCGTCCCTGTTTAAATTAATGAAGAATAATAATATAATAATAACTTTCAGCAATTTATCTAGTTTTATTTTTTATAAAAAACGTTTCCGATGACACTGATACTGCATTACACACATTAATACCAAGATACATTTTGGAGGATTATAATTCAGAGTCATCTCCTGAAATCATACATAACGCACGATACAGTGTCTCATCTCGTCTCCTTTTTTAAAAGATAGTTTGTTAAAATAGGCACCCTGCATTAGAGGACACAGTCAGGAATGAAAGAGTCACATGATCAGTGTTTTGTGCATGCCTCTTACCTCGCTCTGCATGTCGCTCATCTCTCTGGCGAAGCTCGTCTCTGACGTGTCGGGCAGAGAGGAGTAGAGGGAGCTGGACGCCTCCTTCTTCCCACTCTCCCTGTACTTAATCTGGGGAAATGGAAATCGAGAAAAAAGTGAATAATCTTCATGAAACTATTTAATTCCCGCTGTTTGTGTAGAGCATTGAACCCCACCTCACTGAGGAGCTGAGTGCTCTCTTTAGCGTGCTGAGTCTCCAGAGTTTCAGGCAGCAGAGAGTACAGGCAGCTGTTCACCTCCTTCTTTCCTGCTTCCTTATACTTTGCCTGCACACATCAAAACCCATTTTGGTTATTAAATATTACAGCTAATTACAGCTGCATGTCTAAATCATTCCTGCACAATCATCCTTTCTGTTGCATGTTTGTATCAAAGGTCTCTGCAGGAAGTCCTTTTCTATTCTTTTTTTATTGAATACATGTTTCACAATCCAACAGACACAAACGTAGCATCACTAAAATGTGTGATATTCTTCCGTCACATGGCAGAATAAGTTATTACAATTATGCTATCATATAAATAACTGCAGGAGCCTCTGTCTTTAAAAATCTGACATGTTTTAGTGGATCAGATTTCCCATGAAAGGTTTGGATGAGAGTGAAGAGTACTTCACGAAGAGGCTCTGCACATAAAGAGTTCTTCACTGTAGCTATGGAACAGTAAAATACCCTCTTCAGCGAAAACTGGATTTTCTCTTTCTTTTCTGCTTCCTTTTTGTTTCTGGTAAAAAAGAAATACATTTTAAAAGGTGTTTGGTACCTGGCTCTGCAGGTCAGTCAGCTGTTTGGCCAGCTGAGTCTCTGTGGTCTCTGGGAGCTGATGGAACAAAGTGCTCTGATTCTTCTGCTTCACTCCTTCCTTATACTTTATCTACAAGAAATAGAACACAGTATCACATTGATTTAAAAAATATACGTCACATTTTACATGGGCAAACTTATTGTTCATGTAAGATACGACTAAATGAGTTGAGTGTCAGCCTACTGCCAAAGAACCCTGTGCAAATGTGAATTGCCATAATGGAAAGTACATTTAATAAAGTGCTTTAGTTTGTCCAGTTTATGCTACTTCCTATTTCATTTTACAGGGAAATGTTGTACTTGCTGCACTACAATTATTTAACGGCTATATCTTCTGGCCTATCCAAGGAAATATCAAAATATAAGCGAAAACAACAGTATTTCTATTTATTTATCAATAAAACGTCAGAAATGGTTGCATGCATACCTCACTCTGCAGGTTTGTAACCTCTTTAGCGTGCTGCGTGTCGATGGTCTGAGGCAGCAAGGAGTACAGGTTCATGCTCATCTCCTTCTTCCCCTCCTCTTTATACTTCACCTGGACGAATACAGAAATATTAAAGGTGCAAAATGGAAACAAATTAAGAGCAAAAGTATAAATATAAGGAGGAAAGGGAACTGTGTTACAGAATAGAGAATTTAGAGAATACAAATAACAGAAGTAGTGTTTCCTATAAAATAATTGAAAATGGTGACATTATTTTAGCTTCGTGAGCTTATGTTCAACATGTATATTTTGGATGCATATTTATTATTAATACAATGGTCTCTGTGGTGTTAATGTAGTTTTTGTACCTCACTGAGGAGCTCGGAGGCTTCTTTAGCGTGAGCCGTCTCTAAGGTCTCGGGCAGCTGGGAGTACAAACACGAGTTCACCCCCTTCTTACCCGCCTCTTTGTACCGCATCTGCAGAAGAAGAAACATTTGTTTTAATGTGCTGTAAACTTTGAAAACCTTTACAAAAAGAAATAGTTTCTAAGGATCAGAAAATAAAAAAGATGATTAAATGAATATTCATTACCTCACTTTGCAGCTCTGCAACATTCTTAGCAAACTGCGTCTCGTTGGTCTCTGGGAGCTGAGAGTAGAAACTCTGAGAGATGCTCATCCTGCTGCCCTCCTTATATTTACTCTGAGAGAGGAGAAACATATCTGTCATCAGGAAAAATATAGATTTTATTACAATACGTTGTAAGGAGTATTGGGAAGAGTTTAACTCTCATTGTCATACATTTAATCCATCATTTTTAGGAGGTGTAATATAAATAAAATCTTACTTCCTAACTTGTTCAATCAAACTTGAATGTACACTTCAAGTACTATTAAATACATATATTGTTAGATTTGTGTTTGATTATCACAGATTGGGGAATGAAGGTTTCACAAGCATTGTTCAGGAGTCAAAATATACACATAACCATACTAGAATGATATATATTTATAGAGTATCTATAGAATACACAGTATAAAGAAATACGTTGGAATACAGTATAATAAACCAAAGTAATACAACTAAAAAAAACTATATACATTTTTGTAAAGAATGCAATGAGATAGAGTGTGGATTTAAAGATGTGTAAACTGTGCAGGATCATATATGGAATGTTTGAGACATTATGAACTGCTGGATCAAAACACAGTCTCGCCTGGTTGTGACCAAACAAACTAAACTCTCCAAGAAAATATGATGAAGTGCTCTTTATCTAAAGTCTAAAAGAAGAGTTCTCTGTAGACAGTGTTTACCTCGCTCTGCATTTCCGTCATCTCTCGTGCGAACTGGATCTCTGAGGTGTCGGTCAGCTGGGAGTACAGAGAGGAAGGAGCGCCTTTCACCAAAAGACTGGGCCGACAATTCACCTGCAGGAGAGAGATGAATACTAAGTGTCACTACTAAGACTACATTTCCCAGAATTCCTGTGGCTTCCCTTCTATGTCTGTTTCGATGTACCTCACTCTGCATCTGGGACATCTCCATAGCGTGTTGTATTTCTGGAGTTTCTGGGAGTTGGGAGTAGAGAGAGATGGAGGCCCTCCTCTTCCCGTCTTCTTTGTACTTTTTCTGAAACAGATCACTGAGTGTGTCAAAATAACATTCACTCAAGCACTCTCGTCATTACGGAACCTTAATGCTGTTGACAGTTTTCAAAATCTCAGTTTGTTTTGGGAACTTTGATTGGTATTTACAATGCTGATCTTCGCCTTTTCTTTTTTTATACTTTTTCATTTACGGCCATGGTGCATTGGAATATGCTTCCAGCTACAACGTGCACAAACTTTCATTCTTTTTCCCATGACGTAAAATAATATATATTGAGCAACCAGACTTGCAAACATTCACTTCACTGTATTCAAAAATAATTGTTAGTATATATTGATTGTTGTGTTTTTATTTAGGTCTTAATGTGTGCACATGTAAAAATGTGTCTTTGACTGTGTATATATATACAAATTTTCACTCATATTTGTATATACATTTGTTTTTATATTTGGGATTGTGGGAAACGGCATTTCGATCTCTCTGTCTGTACACACAAACTGAAAGTTTACTTTGACTTTGACTATAGTTGCATCGGTAAATGTGCAATTGAATCCGTGCTTTGATATATATTCATAATTGTTAATGTGATAGAGATTATGTAATGTTTTTAGTTGAATGCAATGTGTGTACCTGCCCAGGGACTGCAGATGGAAATCTTAAACTTGAATTCATATTTCTGTGTTTGCTTTATGTATTTAATAATTTGCAGTGGGAAGCCCCAAACCTGCGGTTGCAGCATTAAATAATCTTAATGTGTTAATGCCCACTCTGGGTTTATCTGATGAAATATGTTGAAAAACACCTAAAAAAAATAATATATATATATATATATACCTCGCTTTGAAACTGGTGTACGGTTTTGGCCAGCTGCATCTCAGAAGTTTCTGCCATCTGAGAGTACAAACTGCTGCTCATCTCCTTCCTCCATTCCTCCTTGTACTTGTTCTGAGGAGCAGACAGAGTTTCATCATTAGTGGATCATTCATTCATCCAAGATTTTTCCATTCATCCATCTATCTGTTTATTCATTCATCCTCTAGGTATCCATTTATATCCACTTTAACATAGACCCATCCATCATCTGTCCCTCCATCAGTCTTTCATTCATTTTTTAAATAATGTTGTCCATCCATCCTTCCCTTTATGAAGAACTCTCCATCCATCGAAACCATAAATGAATCCTTCCACGAATGAATACATTATCGATTCATCCATCCACCCATTTGTACATTTTGTATCCATAGCGTTATTCATCAATTGATTTATCATGTATTCATCCTATCATCAGAACACAGCCCTCCATCTATCATCTATTCATTCTTTCATGCATGAATCCATCCATCCTGTCTGACCTCGCTGAGCATCTCCGTCAGCTCCTTGACAAACTGAGTCTCTGTGGTTTCTGGCAGCAGAGAGTAAAGAGAGGGGGAAATCTTCTCTTTGTACTTCACCTGGAACACAAACAACACAAACAGTCACTTTCTCCACACGGTAGAAAGTGTTTTACATAACTCAGATAAATACTGTAACTATAAGTGTCAGTACGTCGCTCTGCAGCTGTGAGGCCTCTTTGGCGTGTTGAATCTCAGGGGTCTGCGGCAAAATGGAGTACAGAGACATGGACGCCTCCTTCTTCCCCTCCTCTTTGTACTTCGACTGAAACACATTTCAGAAACAGATATCACGGTGATGGATCGACATCATTTTATCCTTCCATTTAAGGACATAAAGAGTGTTTATATTAGAAAGTGAGGCTATATAGGCTGCTTCTTGCTTCTTGAATCGGCTGATTAAAGGTTTATAATTGGTGTTAAGGTAAATGGATTACGTCACATACACTCCTCATTAGGTGTGTGTGTGTGTGTGTGTGTGTGTGTGTGTGTGTGTGTGTGTGTGTGTGTGTGTGTGTGTACCTCGGATATCACGGCACTGATGTTCTTGGAGTGGATGAGTTCGGCTCCAGGAACAAACAGACTCTGACCCCTCATCTTCTCAAAGTCCTCCTTATACTTCACCTGCAGGAAGCAAGAGAAATGTGGGTGTGGGTGCGTGTGCGCGCGTGTGTGTGTGTGTGTGTGTGTGTGTGTGTGTGTGTGTGTGTGTGTGTGTGTGTGTGTGTGTGTGTGTGTGTGTGTGTATGTGTGTGTGTGTGTGTGTGTGTGTGTGTGTGTGTGTGTGTGTGTGTGTGTGTGTGTGTGTGTGTGTGTGTGTGTGTGTGCGTACGTGTATGCATAAGCTGAACTCCTGTTGAACTCTATCCTCAGGAGGACGATGCGTTAGATGTTTTGCAGAGTCGTAGTCTCTCTCTTTGTGTGCAGCATTAATAAATAATGTATGAAAACGCCTGCTATGTCTTGTCTAAAATATTTAAAAGATGCACAAATACCAGAGCATTCACATAATGGGGAAGATAGATAAAATGCACAGAAAATGTACTATAAACTGCATTCAGGTGTCTCTATTTGGAAGAACATTTGATTTAAATGATGATTATGTTTAAGATAAAACACTGCTTTATACAATTTGGAATGTTGACAAACTTTACTTTAAAACATTTTAATACAAATGAAGGCCTCTTTTTTAGATAACTACCATTAAACATGTTTGCTTCATGTGCTGCTTTTCTTCATCCATAAAATGAATATAAATGTCCTTTAATAAATGCAAATTGCAATAACCAAAATAAAGAAAATAGAACATATATTATTTGGGAAAGGTAACCACATTTTAAATAAAAATCCTACTTTTTATTTAAAATGTTGAAAGTTTGATTTTAGACATTTAAAACTAATTGGACCTTATTTTTAAATGAATAAATTCACTACATGTTCTCTGCATGAGCTGTCTCTTGGCATTACAGCAGCATGAAGCTAAACTTTAAAGAGGCGTGCGTCTCCATGGTAACAACAAGATCTCTAAACTGTTGTTCAACGACTTTACATTTTCTTGCTCAGAGTTTATCTTCGCAGCAACACTCAGAAAATACATGAATAAAAAAGGTTAATTTAAATAATGAATAATGTAAAGAACTACTACATTATAACAGTAACTATGGAAAAATAGACATTTTAAGTATATTTAAATGAGGCAGTGAGACAGGAAGAAGGATTTATAACGTGCGTTGACTTGATGAGTCATTCTGCAGTTATTCTGCCAACTTTGACTCACAGGGAATCAATCTCTCGCCTCCCACATGCTGCACCAGCGTCACCCTCATTCAGCGTTTCACTGCTCTGAAATACTTTACATTTTTCCACATCTCCTCGGGTTGAAAAAAGGCCAGTCATTGCCCTTTTAGAGGGATGGTTACCAATAGCAACCCGGTTTATATCAGAGGCAGCAGAGGACGTTAACACTCAGAAACATTTTGATTCACGAGGTGAAGCTGAAGCAGATATTACACACCAGAATATCTGGGTCACCATCACACAGATGCAACACTGCGCTCACCATGGAGGGGATTCATGGGATTATTTGGATATATTACTGTTGGATTATCTCAGGTTATTTCTTCAAACCAGGGCTTGAAAAAATATCAATATTATATAATATCATATAACATATATTCTATTATATTATAGTATGTAATGTTATATAATAGTATATCATATTATATATATTCTATTTTAATTCTATTATAATATTTTATCATATTATATTATGTCAGCATTATACTTCGATTTCACTGCATTTCCTAGAAAAATATAGTAATTTTCTACTGTACTGCTGTTTTGGGTATTATATCGATATTAGATCTTTATTGCGATACGAGACTAGCTATTCTCATAAATCTGGATATTGTTGTATGGCATAAGTGTTGTTTTTCCAAGGGGTTTTAAAGGCAGCATTACAGTAAAGTGGTGTTGTGTTCTAATAACATATAATGTGTATGATTTGTCATTACCCACTTAGTCATGATATCCACCTTACTGAGGAACATTTATCAATACTCTAAGTGTGTAAATATTTTGTGAAAGCACAGCTCTTCTTTGTATAATAAATTAAACTAGGGCTGCTTGATTATGACAAAAATCATAATCTCGATTATTTGGGTCAATAATTGTAATTGCGATTATTAAATGCGATTATTCATTGACTTTGAAAACATCAATTTATTGGAGAAAAAAAATTTGAACAGTATGTTTTTAACAGTTGATTACCCTGAACTTTAAGTATACTTCAACTGAAAAAAAAAAATATATAAAATATATATATAAAAAACAAAACAAAAAAAGTAATAATAAAAAAATTATCGTTTTATTTCGATTATGTTGTTTTCGTAATCGTTGCAAGCCATAATCGTAATCGCGATTAAAATACGATTAATTAAGCAGCCCTAAATGAAACTACAGTTTATTAGAGATATTTGTATAAATAACAAAATGATCTGAGTGACTTACTTCACTGACGATCAGGCTGCACCTCCTGTTGAATGCAGGGTCAGGAAGAGGAGGCTTTTCATCAGAGGACACCTACAAAAAACATACATGTACATTTGACTTCACAATTTTGTGCAGTTAATCTGTAACATATCCACTTTCTGAGTGAAGGAGCCTCTCTGTTTTGTCCTTTAAACCATCATAAAAGATAATCTCTGTTGCACCTATTATTAGTAATATTGCCAAACTGAATTATCTCTTGTAAAACGGAGACGTTGAAATCTGTAAGGAGCCTTTTCTGAGTCATGCAGTGTTAATCCCTCGCCTCCTTTATCAGTTCCTAAAAATCCCAATATCAGAGGCTAATAATGGTTTCACTAATCCTCTCTAAGCCGTATGAGGGCTGCAGTGTCGAGGTCAACACAAAGAGGAATACATCTGCACTTCATCAGGAACAAAACCTCAAAAACATTCAGCTGCAGTTTGTAAAGATTTGTGGCCTTTTGGAATTGTTCCCTTTACACAATTCAAACCATCCTGAAATAAGATAATTAAAAAGCTGAGAGACATCATACGAGCACAGCCATCTCAGTGTGTTCTAAAAGATAACAAATGAATTAGCTGTCTTCTCACATGAACACAAAGCAGAGGAATGTTTTCCACACAAATCAAGTAGTTTTAGGAACCCACAGATCTTTGAATCATGAATTTCCTTTCTTTGGTTTCTTATCTGATTATTTTTAGGATTTATTGAGCTGAATAAGGACTTTTGTCGTTTATGTTGAGTTTTAAAAGTCAAACTCACCTCTGCTTCCCAGGATCCCAGAACCTTCTTAGCCTGAGCCTCATCTTCCTCTCCTCCTTCCTCATCTTCTTTAGCTTTCTCAGTTTCCTCCAACGTCTCCTCCACGATCGTACTTCTTGTAGTTGCGGAAAAAACCTTTTTCGTAACCAGGGTCTCCTGCAATGACTCTCCTGTCTCCTCCTCTCCTCCTTCCTCCTCTCTCTCCTCCTTGCTTGGTTTCTCAGTTTCCCCCTCCTCCTCCACGTCCATCCTCTCCTTCTCCCCGGTCAAAACTTCTCTCCTCTCTGCAGCTGGAGTCTCTTCTTCCTCCATGACGTCACCTCTGAGGAAAAAACGCATTTCACTTGCTATGCTGTTTTCATTTATTCATGCAATTCCTAAATATACACATTTTAATCTGACATATAATACAAATATACTGTATATACTGTACTACGTGATATTTTGTCTTATCTTTTGATCTATATAACTTTTGTTCCTCCACAAAGAATCATCCAAAAGCAACACTTTGAATCTCGTGTTTACCACATATGTGCTAATAAAGAAAGCTCAATCATAACCATCAATTATTTTTGAATGAAAAAAGACCTGACATGAATAAACTGACTAAAACTTCAGGCTTCAACTCACAGACTAACTTATCCGTTCAAGGTGACATTTTCAGCTTCATCAAAGTCACCGTGTTAAAATTCCTCAATGCTCGGCCTTCCTTTTCTTTAAGGTCATCAATCAGAGGTCAGTAATCACCAGCCTCTTCCCAAACGTTATCATCTTTAGCAACCTATCATCAAATGAGTTCAACGTTACACTCACCTTGTCCGATTTAGGGTCTCTTAATAAAAAAATTCTCTCCAAGCGTTGCTTATTGTTTTCTCAGTATCTTCAGATGCCCTCCTACTAGAGAATTGATGTCACTATTTTGTCTCCTGGAAGTTTTAGATGCTGTTTTACAGATTTTTCTCACTCCTCAGTCTTCCTTAACGTCTAAAATCGACTAATGTCCGCCTCATGTGATGTCTGACTGTCTTCTGTCGCTCGTTGGGAACTTCTTATCACTTTTAACGTCCACATTTAGCCCCCTACTCAAAACCTTATCACCACCGTGCCCTTCATCCAAACACAGTGCCAGGCTGGGTACAGTGTGTGTGTGTGTGTGTGTGTGTGTGTGTGTGTGTGTGTGTGTGTGTGTGTGTGTGTGTGTGTGTGTGTGTGTGTGTGTGTGTGTGTGTGTGTGTGTGTGTGTGTGTGTGTGTGTGTGTGTGTGTGTGTGTGTGTGTTGTGTGTGTTGTTTGTTGAGGGTTGAAGATGAGTTCAGAAAATATCGTAAACTGAAAGGAATGCTCTTGACTTGCAACATTCCTTTTTTTACTAGCTATCCTGCATGTGTGTGTTCAGAGGCCTGAGGCCTGTACTACGAAGCCGGATGTTCTCTTAACCGGCTAACTTCAGGGAAAACTCGGCGTTTCCGGTCCTACGACGCTGGTTCTCTTTTTAGCAGGCTAGATCTCCATGGTAACTTATGCTGTGCGGCTAACCTGCCCCGGAGCAGGTTAGGTTGCAGGCTAAGAGATCAACTCAGTGAAAGCACTGCCTGCTGACCAATCAGAGCTCAGTGTGCGGAGTTTAAAGCGATCAAGTCATATTACAGGAGAAAGGAAATACAGAAAAACTGCTGTTGCAGGAAAGACGGCCGGCAAAAATCACCGACTGTGTGAACATGAACATTAATAGAATATCACCTCCCATCTTCAGAGCAATCTGACTATTATAACATTAGCGTTAAGAAAGCTTAATTAAATATCTGCCACAACATAAGTAACCGGATCAAAGTAACAGTACAGTCCGCGGCATATCACATCATAATGTATCATATATTTCCTTATCTGAGTCAGCTGAGCCGTATCTGGCCGTGCAACACTCAGAGTGTCACATACTGTATGCAGAAGTATTATTTTAAGCAACACATTAAGTTGACGAAACACTCGAGTCAAATGTAATTAAAGTCAGATCGTGTCTTAGTGATATCAGTGATATCATAAACCTGTTAATGTACCAGCTGTATTCACCTTGCAGGTGCAGGCAGCTATGTGGCTTTTATCCTGGATAAAGTGTTTAAGTCATGGATGTTTAAAGTTTAACTTCTTCATATGTCTAATATTAAAGTTCACTTTTCATTCAGGAAGTATGACGCGCTGCGCTGTCAGTACGCTTGTCCATGTTTGTGATTGGTCGAATGCTCCAAATGCCACCCCTTTCATGTGAACGCGCACCTAACTAGATAGGGCATGGCTGGCTTGAGCGATCCACTTGATAACCCGCGTCGTAGTACAGTTTAGCGAGAGCGCGTATGTTTTGGATTAGGCCAACCGGCTAACTCAAACATATCCAGGTTAGGTTGAACCAGCTTCGTAGTACAGGCCTCTGTACTACGAAGCTGGTTCAACCAGCCGTGTCCTATCTAGTTAGGTGCGCGTTCACATGAAAGGGGTGGTATTTGGAGCATTCGACCAATCACAAACATGGACAAGCGTACTGACAGCGCAGCGCGTCATACTTCCTGAATGAAAAGTCAACTTTAATATTAGACATATGAAGAAGTTAAACTTTAAACATCCATGACTTAAACACTTTATCCAGGATAAAAGCCACATAGTTGCACCTGCAAGCATAGGCGGAGTTTGACATTTGCGCTTGGGGGGGGCAAACCTTTTTTACTGACGTCAGTACACAGTCCCAACTATTGCGTGTGGTGCTACGGATACAGTAGCAATAAAACCAGCGTTCACCGCACTGAGTATGACTTTTCCACATACGAACACTACTCGTCTCGTCATGCACGCCTCATGCCCGCCGTACACACACACTCATATGGAAGGGGTGGTCTCTCCCCCCAACAACAGTGCATTACATCTGTAAATCATAACTGTGCACATCTTATACTTATTTGATAACTACTATATCCCTTGGTTACTTGAACACGCTACAATATTATTAACCAGTGTCCTACTTAGTGCAGAAGTAGACGCCTTAAACGTCCCAGAAATTGGACGTTTTAAAAATCGCCGCATATCTTATTGTAATACAATAGCTGAATCACTTGCGAGGGAACTTGTGTCCTTAACCTCATACGTCACACACACACATCACACACACACACGTCACAACATGCGACTGCTCAAAAATGAAATTATTTCAAACAAAATATGATATTATTCAGATTTGTATTGTAACAATCATTATATTACATCTATTAAAATATTGATATCCCAAATATTTGTATTGGAACAGTTTTAGAAGTAGTCATGCTGTAACATATTTCAGCCACTAGGGGGGGCAATGCCCCCCCTGCCCCCCCGCAAAATCCGCCTATGCCTGCAAGGTGAATACAGCTGGTAACGGAAAAAGTGTTGAATTATGAATTGTAATATATACATTTGTTTATTTAATACTCTTATACTACTCACTTCCTGTATTCCCGTGATTAAAGGGACATGCGCAATAAAACGTGTCACTTCCGGTTGAAGCAAAGCCGACGGTGTATGTGTGTATTTATTCCTCTGTCACGTTAAACTATGTTCACGGTATTCCTGCCCTAAGATCATGGCATCGTTAACAAATGCGTACATTAACAGGTTTATGATATCCCTGCCCTGTCTAAGACACGATCTGACTTTAATTACATTTGACTCGAGTGTTTCGTCAACTTAATGTGTTGCTTAAAATAATACTTCTGCATACAGTATGTGACACTGTGAGTGTTGCACGGCCAGATACGGCTCAAGAAGCTGACTCAGATAAGGAAATATATGATACATTATGATGTGATATGCCGCGGACTGTACTGTTACTTTGATCCGATTACTTATGTTGTGGCAGATATTTAAGTAAGCTTTCTTAACGCTAATGTTATAATAGTCAGATTGCTCTGAAGATGGGAGGTGATATTCTATTAATGTTCACGTTCGGTGGGCCTGGAGAAATGTAGGTGGGCCAGGGGGAGACATATGAACCCCCTGATCCCACCGGAAGCGTCTGCGCTGCGGCTGCGCCGCGCTGCGACCTCCTCCTGCGTCATAACCCACCAGGCGCGTTTCAAAACGTTGCGGAAGCGGAGCGTCGTGTGTGCAGCCTCGCAGTTGTTGGATGAACGTTCCACTTCCTGCCTGCGCTGCGTCAAAAATAGGATTCATCCTATATTTTAGAAATTCCTTGCGGCGAGGAGCTTCTGGGACGCTTCGAGCCGCGGCGCAGCGGGTCTGGTGGAATAGCACCCATTGACTAGAGTGGCCGCGATCGCTAAAAACGCCGCAGCCGCAGCGCAACGCAGCGCAGACGCTCTTGGTGGGATTAGGGGTAGCCTGCAACCTAACCTGCTCCGGGGGAGGTTAGCCGCTCAGCATAAGTTACCATGGAGATCTAGCCTGCTAAAAAGAGAACCAGCGTCGTAGGACCGGAAACCCCGAGTTTTCCCTAAAGTTAGCCGGCAAAGCGAAAATCCTGCTTCGTAGTACAGGCCTCTGGTGGTAATGGTCATTAAGACAGTGTGTTTGTTTTAACACAATACACACTGACTGACTGCTGACATATTTCTCAGGTAAATAAACACTCAAGCAACAAGCTTTAGGAGCGGGAACGGATACAAAAGCTCCTTTAGTGGTTAATGTTAAGATGTCTTATTCCATTAAAAAAATTAAAAATAAGTATCAACAGAAAGAAAGTTAAAATTATGTTTTTATTTTTGCTTTAAAGTGAAGTTTATTTAATCACTTCAGTGCATTAAATCCACTTTTTAATAATTCCCGATGTAATATACGTTTTCATTTGTTATTTTTTCAGTGAAGCTACCGTTCCTTTTAGTTTAAAATACAAAAGGAGGTCTCACATTTCAGGGGAGCATGGATATATCACTCTTTTATGACAATCTTTAAAGCTAATGTGAAGTGTCCTATAACCTGTTTTTAAAGTCTAGGTTAGAGCCTGAAATGTAGCTTACTGATTTGCAAACACTGTGAGATGTAGAGCAATGCAATGATTGGGGAGATTAATGGTAAAGGTATGTACACAAACGAATGAAAATAAAAGCCATTACTTCTTAACCTCCTCTGTGTGGTTGTTGACATTACTCACCATAAAGATGAATAGTATTGCAACAGAGTCCTGACAGCAGCAGGTATCTGGCAGTGAGGAGCGTCAGATGGCAGCCGAGGTAAACAGGACAGCGCCCATCTGCTGATACACAACGAGAAGCTTCACAACAACAACAAGAAAATACAAATGTATCCACAACAACAATAACAACAATGAGAGAACACTAATGTATCCTTAACAGCAACACGAAAACACACATTTATCCTAAGCAAAATTAAGAAAACACTAATGTATCCTCCTCACCAACAACAAGAAAAGGCATATTTGTCCACCAAAACAACAAGAAAACACAAATGTGTCCTTAACAAAATCATGAAAACACTCATTTACCCTCAACAACAACAACAACAACAAGGAAACAATAGTTTATCCATACAAATAACAAGAAAACACTCACTTACCCTTAACAACAACACCAAGAAAACGCTTATTTATCAAACAACAACAAACAGGTGATGAAGAGGTTATTCTGCATTAAAGGCCTTACAAAATTTGATAGTGATATATCCCACAAAACATCAAAACTGAACAATTTTAATATCTTGTGGTAAAGTCAAATTATTCATTATTCTGCATGAAAGAAGCATAAACAAATGAATTATTGCGTAAAGTAACATTTCGGTCGACAGACTATTTGCTCAACTTTCCACCTCAGCCAAATGTAGAGTGTATTTTGTGCTTTTCATTTTTCTAATCTGTATAGTCACACCCACAATAAAGCATAAAAACAGAGACACATCCTGATTACAGAGGTCTTTAAACACAACATGGCTGTCTGAATAACAGCTGAGTCTGAACACACTGCTCTGCATGCAGAAACTGACGATGAAAGCTAATTATGTATTTTCTGTGATATCAGGAAACATTTTTAAACATAAATTCCATCCTCTACTCTCTCTCTTTGACCTTGAGAAGAGCGGAGTAATAAGATAAAAGTGTAGGCTGTTGAATATCACACAGAGAGAGTTAATGTGTGTGAATTAATTAAAGTGAAGCAAATGAGATGAGAGAATCCGGGGTGTATTACCGCGGAGGAATAATGGGATCACTCGGTCAGGTAAACAGAGGAGAGGGGAGAGAAACAGGGAGAGAGATACAGAGAGCACAGAGGAGAGGACAGAACAACAAAGGGAAGGAGAACAGGCAGGAGAATAAAAATCAAAGCCCAAATGTGATGTGGGAAGAAAGTAACTTAACACATTTTAAAAAGGGGATTTATTGTCTACTTTAAGATCAAATAAATGTTTTTGGAGCCCCTAAGGACAAATGTATGTGTTACTGCAGCACAGGGGAAGACACAAAAAACGTTTTAAGTATATAAAATAAAAACAAGAATATAACAAATAAACTAGAATAGAATACTTTATTTATCCCATCTTTGAATCTGTGTCTCACATAAAGTGACCTACAAGTATATAGTACATTTAAGATTAAAATATTAATAACATCTTCTATAAGAGAGCACACCAGAATAGTGCATTGTAATGTTTTTTTAATGCACATAAATGAATGTTTAATGTGCATTTCATGCTTTTACACCAACATTCATCATGTTTTTATATGATCAACATACGATGAAAAACTGTTTTATAAAAAAAGATAAACACACACTACCTTGGCATCATCTGCTGGGTCACTGGGTCATTGGGACACATGGGAGAAGCATCTGTGCACACACACACCCTCACACACATACAATAATTAAACATACACAATTGTAACTTTTATGTTTAAAAGCTGTATTGTTACCATAAAACTCAAATGTAATTAATATACAGTTGAATTAAAAGCACATTTACAAACATGGCTGATGGTTTAGTCCAACTCCCAAATGTTTTTGCTTCTATTAAATAAGTATTTTACTTATATCTACGTTACATATTACACTCCGAGCTGTTTCGATATAATTAATAATTAATTGTTTACATGATGGGATTCTTCATCCTCCACCTCATTCATTATTGACTTTTCTAAAGACACTTTGCAAAGTATTATTTAATTATTTAAATGTTGGTTAATCTTCAGCCTACTTGTCTCTTGGAGCTCTGAATGTCCATTATATATAATGCACTGTATGTTAGACACTGGTATTTAAAATATGTTAGATATAAGTCGTGCTCAGGATGTTGTTGATGTACATGCAACATAAAACATTTATTTATTTTGTTAATACATTTCTAATTGAATAACTGACATATTGACTGGCTTTAAAACACATAAAAAATGAAAAATAATACTTACTTACTTATTCATTGGTTCCATAAGAAGCTCCTCATCACTCAGCTGATATCTTCAACACTTGTCGATATTTTGTGTATGTGTGTGATTGTGCTCACTGACCAAAGTGCACCCCTTACTTTCATACACACACCAGGACAAACAGTAACATAGTGTATATATGTGTGTGTGTGTGTGTGTGTGTGTGTGTGTGTGTGTGTGTGTGTGTGTGTGTGTGTGTGTGTGTGTGTGTGTGTGTGTGTGTGTGTGTGTGTGTGTGTGTGTGTGTGTGTGTGTGTGTGTGTGTGTGTGTGTGTGTGTGTGTGTGTGTGAACATACATTACTGATCTGCTCCTGGGTCCGTCTGAGTCTCTGCATCTCTGGGGTGTCGGACACGATGCTGAACCCTCGACCTTTACTCTCCTCAAAGTCCTTCTTATACCTCACCTGCAGGAAAGAAAACACAAATATATTAAAAGGATATTAAAGGAATATTCCCCTTATATATTTGCGATGTTCTCTGCATTGGTTAAAGTGACTCAATTATTTAAATATGTCAGTATAAGTCAATGACAATGTACAGTATGTGAATTCATCAAATGGGACTTTCTATATCTGGCAGAGCTGGTGTTATGGCTGCAGGATTTGGCATCCCCTCTGTAACTTTGGCCAGCATGGTCATAATCTCACCAAAATCACACTGGTGAGAGTTATTCCCCTATAGCAGTGACCATCAACTGGTGGCCCGACAGACATTCTCATCCGGCCCGCACGGCGGGGGTGACTGTGGCGTTGGCGGAGTGGTTACAACGTCTCGTGAGTAATGTGCAGAACCGGAGTCCAACAGAGAGGCAGCAGCTGCGGGACAGTAGACTGCGTAGCCTTCCCTGCCCTGAAGAAGAAGTGATCCTTCGTTAGCGTGAAGAGTCTGCTTTATGTGCTCCGCAGCAGTAGCCCCGCTGCCCCCCCCCCCCGGACAACAACTACAAAATTCTGGGCTATATATAAAAATCGCTGGCCCGCGAAAGTGTCTATTGGATAAATGTTGGCCCTTGGTCAAATGTAGTTGGTACATTTAGTTGGTATAGTTTACGTAAACAAAAGCAATATAATCTGAGCCTATCAGATGAAATATTAAAGTAGAGTGAATGACATCAAACACCCAGTCTTTTAAAATTGTTCTTTGATCTGATATTTCCTGTTTCAATTAATAATTTTGCTAGTTTAAAGTCCAAGATTGGTGATATTCTAAATTTTGTATCAATATATCAAATTAAAAAGACCAAATATCAGTGGTAACCTGTAACACCACAGTGTACAAATAAAGTTCCAAGTACAGCATTTAAAAGTACAATTAAAAGTATGAGCATCCAAATCCAGCAAAAGTAATAAGGATGCAGATTGTCACATTTTAGATAAATATATTTATTAGATGGCTAGTTGAATACTCGATTTTGATTGGTCAATTCAGAACATGTGACACGTTGTTAATCCAGAACAGACAGACCGCTGTCAAGGACTTATTGACCGTTGTTAAGGACGCTCACATCTGCAGAAAGAAGTTCGGTCGATTTAACTGTATACAGTTTGGCTGAAAAGCAAACTGCGTGCAGTTTGCCTTCATGCATCTGCATGCAGTTTGCCTTCATGCAGATCCAGTTTGCCTTCATGCAGATCCAGTTTGCCTTCATGCAGATCCAGTTTGCCTTCATGCAGATCCAGTTTGCCTTCATGCAGATCCAGTTTGCCTTCATGCAGATCCAGTTTGCCTTCATGCAGATCCAGATCCCTCCGCTTCGCGTCGGGCTCCTGATCAGCCTGTCGAGTGTTCTCTTCCCCATAATGACCGCGTCGCTGCACATTATCCCTTACATAATACACCACTAGTCATGTCTCGCCTAAGTGGAAAAAGTTGTGGACGAACATTTTTAATTAAACTTGTTGTTATAAAGGCATGGCAGAGACTTTTAATCATGAGTCTTCAGCAGGGGGTCTGTGACCCCTATGGGGCCCTCCGGATTACTGCAGGTGGGCGCCAAATTCTTGTTTTATAATGTTTTATCCAAGATCTACATACGTATGAACACATCTAGTCGAATCAATTAAAATCTGGATTTTCACTCACACTTGAGTTTTGATGACACCAGCTGCTTCAGCTGTGAGACACACACACACTGCCGTGTGTCACATGACCATGTCTCATCCATAACTCAACTGGGTCAGTATGTACACTCACAGTGCACGCCTCTTTGTCTGTTATAATCACTTCCTGAAGCTCGACTTTAATGCTCCAGCGCTAATATGAAGTGATTCAAACATCTCCTCTGGACATCAGACACATGGATCGGATAGTTGAAGAAGAGAAGGAGGGAGGTTATAACATAAATCTATCTCTCAGAGGCGAGTAGAAATAAGGTGCACGTAAATCTGCACGTGGAATATCAAAAGTAGCTCTCCTGATGCAATCTAAAACAGCTTCCCCTCGTCGTTTTATTTCACATAATTGCTATCAAACAAATGACAACAAATATTTACCATCAGCCTTATTTACAGTATATCCTTAAGAAACTTCACGTTTGGCTTGGTGACTGTTTTGGCTAAGAGGACATCTTAAAATTACACTTTGTGTGCAGTCAGGCTTCATGTACGTCATCATTTGTTCACCAAGTTTGTTCCCGTCGCAATTTCACATTTTGCTTTTACCAAAACACCCAATTTTGTGTGTGTGTGTACCTGGCTCTGTAGTTCACTCTGCTGTTTGAGTCTCAGGTTCTCCGGTGTGTCGGCCACGATGGTGAATGACGTCTTGGGGTAATGTCTAAAGGAGGAAGAGCAGAGTTTCAAATTAATCCAGTAGAAATGTTTGAGCTAAAAATACACAGTACTTCAGTAAATATACTTCGTCCACCACTCAATGACGCTAAGAATAAAAACTGCCCCAACATTTAATATGTGACATTCGTCAAAGCTGCTAATGAACCAATACATTAGAAATGTGTGAAAGATTAAATGTTTTTCAGAACTATTCCTCAATAACTTTTAACCAATTATTGATAACCCCAAAATTAAAATGGAAACTTTCCACCTCTAACCAATGAGAGTCAAGTTTCCAGACAAATTCATTCTTTGGAGCAAACATTTTTGCTTCAACATCTCTTCAACATTTCCAGGAAATATGGACCTCTTTAAACAATGAAGCCTGCAGCCGTTGCATGCTGGGAGTAACCCGAATGAGTTAAAGATGATGACATTAGCAGGAACAATGACCCATTGAGAGGATCAAAATAAAAAAGCAACACACTGCTATATCTCTCTTTTTCCCACAGGACCTTTTGGTAACTTATTAGTGACCTTAAGATATATATTTAGTTTTCTGTATCTACAAAGAGCATTCGTGAGTTAACATGTAAAGCTATTCTCTGCAGGAAGCATGAAGCACAATGGAGCGGGGGAACAATACAAAACCCTCCCACACTCGGGAGGCACTTTGAAAAGGTGGCTTTATGTAGGCAATGTTTAGAACAGGAAGATAATTATTACAACCATTACTTATCATTCTTTAGGCAACCTGAGTTCCAGGAAAACAACTCTTTAAGACTTTTCTGTTTTCTACATTTAAAAATAGTGCAGCGTTTGCAATGAATGTAAGGCAAGGCAAGTTTATTTATATAGCACTTTTCAACACAAGGCAATTCAAAGTGCTTTACAAAAAAAGTAAGACATTAAGAAAAGGGCATTTAAAATCAGTCATTAAAAAGAAAAGCTAATAAAATAAACATTAAAAGAAAAAATACATGGATAAAAGTTACAGTGCAGTTTAAGATATGAATAGTTCAATTAAAAGCAGCGACAAAAACAAAAGTCTTCAGCCTGGATTTAAAAGTAGTCAGAGTTGCAGCGGACCTGCAGGTTTCTGGGAGTTTGTTCCAGATATTTGGAGCATAATAACTGAATGCTGCTTTACCATGTTTAGTTCTGACTCTGGGGACAGAAAGCTGACCAGTCCCTGAAGACCTGAGAGATCTGGATGGTTCATCATTTAGCAGAAGATCAGAAATGTATTTTGGGCCTAAACCATTCAGTGCTTTATAAACCAGCAGCAGTATTTTGAAATCTATTCTTTGACACACAGGAAGCCAGTGTAAAGACTTCAGAACAGGAGTGATGTGATCCACTTTCTTAGTGTTAGTGAGGACTCGAGCAGCGGCGTTCTGAATCAGCTGCAGCTTCCTAATAGATTTTTTAGTGAGACCTGTGAAGACACCATTGCAGTAGTCGAGTCTACTGAAGATAAAAGCATGGAAAAGTTTTTCCAAATCCTGCTGTGACATTAGTCTTTTAATCCTAGATATATTCTTTAGGTGATAGTAGGCTGATTTAGTAACTGTTTCAATGTGACTGTTGGAACTCAGGTTAGAGTCCATGACTACACCTAGATTTCTGGCTTTATCTGTTGTTTTGAACATTGCAGACTGAAGCTCAGCGCTAACTTTTAAACGTTCTGCCTTGGCTCCAAAAACCATTACCTCAGTTTTATCTTTGTTTAATTGGAGAAAGTTCTGACACATCCAGTCATTGATTTGTTCAATGCACTTACTCAGTGTTTGAATTGGAGCATAGTCTCCTGGTGAAATTGTTACGTAAATGTGTGTGTCATCTGCATAGCTATGGTAACTTATTTTGTTGTTCTTCATTATCTGAGCCAGTGGTAGCATGTAGACGTTAAAGAGAAGAGGCCCCAAGATGGAGCCTTGAGGAACCCCACATATCATATTTGTCAACTCAGATGTGTATTTACCTATAGAAACAAAGTTCTGTCCTTTAAGTAGGATTCACCTTGTATCTTGTATTCATGCTGTAGCTATCTGGGGGTAATGCTAACATAATTATTAAATCACTTTTAGTGGTGAAGAATATCAAGAAACTAAGGAGGAAAAAGTAGACAAACAAGAGGAACACCTACAACAAGAGAAAACAAGAACAAAACATGCAAGAAGATTGAGAAACACAAGAAGAAATCAGCCAGATTAAAGGAGAATTACAACATACAGCTACAGTAAGCTGATTCATTTAGCCTGCGACTCTTTCTGTGAATCATGGACACCAGCAGTCTCTCTTCGGCACAGTTTGACCCCTGTACTGTCCTTCACTCCTCTCCTCCTTTTCCTCCCACCTCTCCTTTTTCTACCTCCCACGCTCTTTTCTGTATTTACTCTACGTCCCTCCCACACACTCTCCCTCCATCTCTCACTCTTGCTTTTACTCCGATTCGAAGGTAGTCCTTGCACGAGTCTAAG